GAGCTTATTTCAGTAACCGTACAACCAGCAAGGACGTGAAGACCCCGAACGCTTGCTGTATCACGAAGTGCCTGTTGCAAAGCGTTGCAAGAAAGTGAGTAAGCAAAAAGCAGGTATGAGAGAATGGGATGTCCCTCGTCCGTTCGCCTAAAAGGGGAACCCGTGCAACCCAGCCGTTTGGGAGCTGTGGCACGAGGAGCTCTGGCTCTGGAATTTACCAAACTGGGCGAGCAGCAGAGTGTGGTTCAGGGGCAGGCGGGAAGCCTGCGTCCTCTCACCCGCTCTCCCCGTGCCCCCGCAGACTGCTCTTCCAGCAAAGTGAGATGCACTGACTTCGTTTCAGCTCCCCTAGGTCTAAGATGCTGCCAGACCGCTATTAATTGATGCTGTTTATAAATCCATACAGTCAAACCTCTTCCTCGAGCTACCTGTCCCTGTGGAAATCACCCTAAGCTCCGCAGTTCAGCTGTCCCTACAGCCACATCTCACCAGAGCCAGCGACCAAGGCCAGACACGGCTGCAGCCACATAACCATCACCTCTATGCTACGACAGTGCTGTCCCAGAGTGACTGAGCAGAGAGGGGAGAAGGAAAGCTCATCAATAGAGACACCTAGAAAAAAAAAAAAAAAAAAGAGGGGTAGGGACCTGCTTTTCCCTGCTCTTGCCACGGGGCTGCCTGGATTCAGTGCTTGGGAGCCCCGTAAGGCACAGGGCACTGCCAACACGAAAAAGAACAAGCTAAGAGGGAAATTATTACCCACAGGTCTAGAGAACGTCTGAAGCCTTTAGATAAATAAGCAATAAATTGACAGGAAAAGCTATCAATTGTACAGCAAACAAAAGAAGAGACTTTGGAGGTATCCCCATACAAGGCCACGCAGCTCTGCATCACCAACTTGTTAACTTCAGTAATAAACAAGGGTGAAGATAATCTGGGTTTTGCCGTATTATGATTATAAATAAGGTTTCTATGTCAGTTTAATTCTGCAAAGCACTTTAGGATTAGGGCTGGCAGCTGGGACAAGCCTCGCCATAGATGCCGCAACAATAGGGTTTGGTACCTTGCTGTATTATGATGGGAGAGAGCAAGGAAAGAGATGCTGTGCTTTATGGGCAAACAAATCCACGGGGGGATTGTGCCAGGGAGAGAATTTCACACACGAAGGTGCTCCTTCTCAGGGCTTGAGGGTGGGCCCCCCCCCCCGGCAGAGTTGATGGCTTGTTTTCATACTCACATCTCCCTTGTGCAACTCGGGCACCGTGATCCGCACCGGCTCTGTCCTCTTCTTTGGCTTGGGGAGGCTCAAATCCACCCCAGCCCCGGGAGGAGCAGCGGAGGCCGAGACAGGAGGGGGCAGGTTGAGGGTAGAGGCAGCAGTCGTGGTGGCTGCGTTCCTCGGGGGGGGCAGGAGGAGCCCCCCCAGCCTGGGCTGCTCCCCGCTCCCGTTGCCGCTGGCCGCCGGCTCGGGCAGGCTGCCGGCCGAGGCCTGGCCCGGGCTCATGCCCGGCGGGGGGGTGCTGAAGCCCCTCATGCCGGGCGGGGGGCCCATAAGGAAAGGAGGGGGTGGCGGCAGCAGGGGGAAGCCGCTGCCCAGCGGCTGGTGAGGCGGGGGCAGGGGCGGCATCACGGGGTCTTTGGGGGGAGGCAAGGTGGCGAAGAGCCCGCGGGCCGGGGGCTGCTGGGCTGCGGCAGGAGACGGGGCGGCGGCTTCCTCCTCCTCGCCCGCGGCCTCCTCCGCATCGCTCTCCTCTTCGCTGCTAGCATAGGCCACCAGGGACATGGCCCTCCGAGGAGGGCAGCCCTTCGCGGGCAGGGGCCGCTACGCGAGGCCGAGGATCCGCCCTCCCAGCTAGGCCGCGCCGCCGCCGCGCCTTCAGCGACCGTAGCGGGGAGGAAGGGGAGGGCCGGGGCGAGGCTAAGCCGCCATGGCGGCCCCACCCCCGCGCAGCGGCGGGGCCGCGTGCTCGGGGCGGCGGCGAGGCGGCCCAACACCCGGCTCCGCGCCCGGCGCGCCGCGCTCCCAGATAATGGCTGCCGGCAGCGCCTCCCCCCCCAAGCTCTCCCTTTTCCGCGCCGTCGGACTACAACTCCCAGCGTGCCCCGCGCGCCTCCCGCTGCCCGCCTCCCAGCGCGCCCCGCCGCGGGGCACCACGGGAGGTGTAGTCTGCGGCGCCGCCTGGCGGGACCACCGCTCCCGGCGTGCCCCAGGAGCCGGGGCGGGGCGACATGGCGGGTGGTATGCAAGGGGCAGGGCTGGGCCTAGCGAGGCCTAGCCAAGCGCTGAGGTAAAGCGCGGTCTATATCTTCGCTAAAAGCCGCTGAGGTGGGGGGAACTGGCTCGGTGCGATCCCTGGGGTGCGTGGGAGGGTGTCGGGCAGGACCGACCCCGCTCCCCAGGGCTTGCGGGTCCTCCCCTCCGGCCCAAGGTTACTCGCCCTGCTCGGCTGCCGGGACTGCAGCTCCCGGCCTTCCCCGCCGCCCGCCCCCGGGCCGTTTCCCCGCCCTCAGGCCGCCTAATTCATCGCCAAACCGAACGGCGGAGCGGGGGAACTACAGCTCCCGGCGGGTCCCCGGGCTGCTGTGTCACTGCGGGGGGACAGAGCGACGGCGGGGGTGGGCAGCTAGTGCCCCTCCGCCTGCTTAATTTTAAGGCAAAAGCTTGGCCTAGGCAGTGTTGTCGGTCTCTGTGGAAGTCTTTGCTGGAGTTTTGTCACAGCTGGGGCTCCCTCGCAGCCGGTTTATTCCTTCAGCGCTTCACTCGACTTTAGGTTTGACTCTGACCTCCTTCTGCTCTGTTCTGGCCTTAATAAGAGGAGAGCTGGGTGCTCAGTTTGGGTCCCCAAGGCAAAGCCCACATGGAAGTCATTTGCCAAGCTGCAGCGAAGTACTAGCATAAATAATTAAAGCAAAATCAAGCTCGATGAGGAGCGTATCCTGTGATGCAAGCTCCATCATTTCGAATGGTGTGATACCCAACTAACAGGCCCAGCCCCACCCATCCTATCCTGTTCTGAAGGACTGAAAAATACTAAAAATACTGTATTAAGAATAGGCCTTGAAGCCTCTGGGAGCGAGAGGGAAAGGTGAGTGTGGTTTTTCAGTAGCTGTGATGCTTACAGGTACGTTTTTTTCCCCTGCTCTTCACACATTTTAGACCTGTAAGAGCGAAGCTGAGCAATACTGGCACAAGGATGCTGAGGAGGAGGTGGCTGTTCCTGCGGCCACGGGGCCAGGTGGGCTCACAGAAGGTCCTGTCTCTGTCAGTTTTTCTTTCTGGCAGTGCAGAAACCCCTTTCCTGGGGTTCCCTGTCCACCAGAAAGAGCGAGCCTTTGGCTGTGTCTTGCACGTGTCTGCGGTGACTTGTAGAGTGAAGTCTTTGTTGAGGGGGCCTGAACCTCAAAGGGCATCATGGAGGTGTTTAAGCCCCTTTCTTTTATAGGTCTGCCCACCCGCTCTCCAAATCGACTGGAAACCAAATTGGAGAACAGACATGGTGTGACAGAGATGGGGATTTTTTTTAGATCAGGTCGCCAGCAAAGCACCCCTTGGGCTGAAATCCTGGGGATGTGGTGGGATCTCCTCAGCATTTTTTTTTTTTTTTTCATTCCTTCCCCAAAAAGCACAGAGCAAGCAGGTTACGCTGCCCAGAACTTCAGTGTGAGGCAGGCCTCATCCTCTGCAGAGAAAAATCAACAATAACTCTGTCAGAGATAGAAGGGACTAAGTTTAAACAAGGTCCTGCTCTTGCTGCGTGGAAGAGGGAGAAATCTTTGTTTCTCTCACCCTTTGTTCACCTTTTCTGTTTAAGCTAGAGATTCCTCAGGCCTGGCTCTCACCCCTGTGCAACAGAGTCCTGTTTTCAGCTGTGACCCCTCTGGTTATTTATTTGTGTTACTTTGCGGCTCATTAGGAGAAATTAAGCCAAGGAAAGCACAGGCAGGATGGAAGGAAAAGAGTCCAGCCCAGGAATCCCAGCTGCCAGGTCAGGGTTCTAGTCTTGCAAACAGCTTAATCTGTGCTTAATTTAATCACAGGTGTTTGGTTGGGCCAGGCCTACACCCTGTTGTGGTTTTAGTCTGAAGCCCAGATGCCTTTAGTAGATTTACTCATCTGGTGACTTAGTCACCCCCACGTCAAGCCTGGCCAGGCGGCCCGAGCCTCCTCTCCAGGCACGCAAACATTTTCCTACGTGCTTCATTTCGTGCGCTGTGAGTAATCCCAGTACCTCTGGCCCGGGCCCTGCAGAATGGGGTATTTCTGAAGAAAAATGCTTTGCCTGTTCTGCTTTAGGTGAAGGGGGGAGTGCACCCAAGGCAGCGCGCTGCTGGGGCACAAAATGCTCCCGATTGTTTATTTTCTTTTTATTTTTTAAAGGCTGCTCTCCCTCTCCTACAATGTACTCAGCTGCAGCTGGGATGGGGATTTTTGGGGATGTAGCTACACTGGGTTTATACCAAACCACTCCATCTCCCTCTGAAGTCACGCCAGGGTGGCAGTGTCACGCTGTGTCCCTATTCCTTCTTATCCCAAATTATTCACCAAAACTGGATTCATCCACATTTTTTCACCAAAACTGGATCCATCCACGTTTATTCATCTACAATTATTCACCAAAACTGGATTCATCCACAATTATTCACCAAAACTGGAGGCATCCCCAGCCCGCCCAAGCCACCTGCAGCTGGATAAATTATTATTATTATTATTATTATTAATTGGGGTTTTGGTGGGTTTTTTTTTGGGGGGGGGGTGTTGGGTTTTTTCGGGGGGTGTTTTGTTTTTTTTTTTTTTTTTTTTTTTTTTTTTGTTTGTTTGTTTTTTTTGTTTTTTTAAATTTTTTGCACCACAAGCGTGGCCGCTTCCCTCCAGCCGGGTATTTCGCAGCAAGCCCAACCCGCCCGGGGATCCCTCCTCTCCCCGCTCACCCGTGGGTGTGGGTGGGTGCGCAAGGCAAGCGCTGCCGAGCCTCCGAGCTCATCCACCGGGAGGAGGAGGAGGAGGAAGAGAAAGAGGAGGAGGAGGGGGGGGGGGGGGGAGGGGGGGAGGTGGCGGAGGGAGGGAGCAATTGAATTTCAAACACAAACAACCGCATGGGGCACGGACCCACCGCCGCCGCGCCGCGCCGCTCCTAGCACCGCGGGCCGGGGCCGCCGCCGCCCCCCGCCCCGGGCTCAGCGCCGGGCCCGCCGCGCTGGGGGGCAGGAGAACCCGCTGGTTCCCCTCCTTCCCCCCCCCCAGCCCCCCCCCCTTTTTTTTTTTTAATTTTTTTTTAATTATTTTCTATATATATATATATTTTTTTTTTTTTTTGCTAATCGCTGCCTCGCTGGGGTTTGCCTTCTAAACTTCAACCTTAACCCCCCCCTCTTCCCTTCTTTCCCCTCTCCCCTATCTTCCCCCCCCCGCCCCCCCCCCCCCCCCCCCCCCCCCCTCCGGTCCCGGGAGGAGCCGCCAGCAAAGATGTCCCGGTCCAACCGGCAGAAGGAATACAAATGCGGGGACCTGGTCTTTGCCAAGATGAAGGGTTACCCGCACTGGCCTGCCCGGGTAAGGAACGGGGGAAGGAACGGGGCGAGGGGGGGGGGGTGGTGGTGCAGGCGATGGGACCCCCCCCCAATTCCCCCCCCCCCCGCCCTCACCCCCGCGGTGCTCCCCGTTGCATAACGCGGGCGGCCGCACGCTGCAGCCGGTGTCCCGGGCGGGGAGGGGGGGGAACGACGCCGGTTTTCGTCCGGATCCAACTTTACCGGCACCTTATGTAAGGCCGGGCCCCGCTCCCCGCGGTGGAAAAGTTGGGGGTTATTCGTTCGCGGCGTGGGGTGGGGGGGGGGGCGGCTGGGAAAGCGCTTTCTGGTTATTTTGGTTTGGTTGGGGTTTTTTTTTTGTTTTTTTTTTTTTTTTTTTTTGAGGGGGAATTAATGTATTGGAAACAACGTCCCGACCCCCTTTTGTGCTATTTATTCATTTCCCTCCGTGGCGGGGGGAGGAAGGAGACAGGTGTGTGTGGGGGGGTCACGGGTGGGGGGACCGCGTGGCTTTTGCCACCGCGTGGGAGTAGGGAGCGCCGCCCCCCCCCCCCCCCCCTCTCTGCGTTGCTCCTGCTCGTTCCGGTCCCCGCCGCAGGACCCACGGGGGGGCAGGACAAACCCCCACCACCACCCACGGGGAAAAGGGATGAAGCCGTGACCTGGGCCGCATCCTGCACCGGAGCACGAGGCTGGCGCAGCCCCCGCCTCCTCCCCGGGATGATCCCCCCCCCCCCCACACACACACCACCGGCATCGCCCAGTGTGTGTGGGGGTGTCCCCTTCCCGCGTGGGGCTGCATCATGGGTGTCTACCCCGCCCAGCCCCATCGGGACTCCCCCACGGGGCGTGGGGGGGGGGGGGGCGGCACATCCCTCCCGCTCCGTGGACTTGCTGCTCCGCTTCACCGATGATTTGGGGGGGGACTTAGCCAAGCCAAACCCCCCCACACCCATCCTGGCTTCACCAGTGGGTCCTCGAGCGTGTGTGTGGGTCCGTGTCCCCCCCCCGCAGCTCCGCGTGGCCTTACCTCTCACTGGGTGCCAAATAGGTGCCAGCGCTTGCCGGGCGTTTGGCTTTGAAAAATCAATATAATTGCTGAGGACTTAGGACGGGGGGGGGGGGGGGGGGGACACGGGGGACGGGACGACACACGCAGGGAAGGGGGGGGGTGTCGAGGGGGGGGTGCTGGACCCGCCGCCTCCACCCGGCTCACTCACACCAGAGCAGTGGTCCTGGGTGCTCTGCAGATACGGGGGGTCCCTGAGCATCTGGGGGGGGGGGTTCAGTACCATGAACCCAGTTCGCCCCCAAGGATAAAGCACCTCGGCCGCCCTCACCGAGAGCCATCAGGGCCTGATCCTTCCCCGGAGGGGGGGGGGAAGCTTTGGCTACAGAATACGTCGCTGGTTATTTTTAAGAGGTTGATGATGCAGTTTAAAATTTCCTTGGAGTGTTTCCCCCCCACCACCACCACCCCAGCTCCCTCCTCACCGCCCCCCCCCTCCTCGCCGAGCAGCTTTGCTGCAAAGGGAGCTGGGCCGCCTGCAAACCCCAAATTAAACCAAAACGGGGAGGAATCGCGCCGCAGCGGGCTTTAAAGGCCGAGGATCCCCCCCCCCCCCATCCCCTCCTCCTTCCCCTCCTCGGGTTTGAATAACTTTTGTTTGGTTTGTAGGGTTCTGGCGGGGAGGCCGGGGAGGGGGGTGGGGAGGCGTTGGGATTTGGCACTGGCCTCCCAACGCGCATTTGAAAGCGGCTTTGCAAGGAGGAGCCAGAGGGATCCCTGGGAGCCTGGCGCCTGCTTCCACCACCGCTTCCCTTTTCGGGGGGCAGCGATGCTCCCCTGACCCCCGCCCCCCGACACAGCCCCACTGCTCCGTCTTCCTTTACCCATCCCACCCCGGTGGGGTTTGGCCCTGGTTCCCCCCCAAAAAAAACCCCTTTGATGGGTTTTTCCCCACCCCCTCCCCCCCTTGCACCCCATTGCTCTGGGGCTGGGGGGGGGGTAGGGGGGTGAAGCCAGGTCGGGGTTCACGCGGCCTCGTACCAGGCTGAGCTCCCGGAGACCAAATTAGCGCCTGCGTACGCTGCGCGGGGCCGGGCCCGCTCGGGTTTCACGCCGTGCTCGGCTCCCCGCGGCCGGTTTCACCGCCACCATCATGGCAGGAACGTTTCGGGGCCCTGGGGGGAGCAGGTTTCTCCCCCCTCCAAAAGCAGCGGGAGATGGGGGCAGGCTGCCCTCCCCATCCCGGGGAGGGGGATGCTGGGTTGAACAGAGAGGTTTTGGGGTGCTGCTTTGCAGAGGGGGCCGAGCCCCCCTTCCCCCCCCCCCCCCGGCTTTTGCCCTCCCTCCAGTGACGAATCCCGTCACGGGCTGGGGTGAAGCAGGCAGGGTTTGCCCGTGACTAATCAGGTGCTGTGATGAAACGTTACCCGGCCGCGCGTGGCGTTCGCTGGGATATTTGTTTCCGACCAGGTGTGGCTGGAGCAGAAAGAAACGGCGAGGGAAGAAATGGAGGGGGAAGAACCAGAGGCACTGCGGGGAGGTGGGGAGGGGGGGGAGGAGGTTTTCCTCTTGCTCACAGTTCCCCCAGGGAGACGGTGCCTGGCACCGTCCCCCAACACCAGCAGCTCAGCCCTGTCCTCTGGAAACCCCTCCCCAAGAGGGGCAGCAGTAGAATAGAGGGGAAACTGAGGCACGAAAGCAGGGAGAGGAGGCGCCATCTCCCAGGGTGGGTGTGTGCCTCCCCGCACACAAATTCATCCTTTTCCCCTCGCCGTATCCCCGCTGCCCGCGCCCTCGCTGGCACTTGCCCAGTGGCACCTTCCCTCCTGGGAGAAGGCCACCAAGGCCACGGCGCTGTCCCTTGGGGCTGGGGACAGCCCTGGGTGGGCTCGTGGCTGTGGGGCTCAGGGATGCCCCAGGCCCCCAGCCCCGTGGTTTTTTTCCGCCGTGTGTGACCCGTGTGAATTAATTCCATTCATTCCAACTCCTGATTGCCAGCCTGGGTGGGGAAACTGAGGCAGGGGGTGGGTTGCTCCCGGCACCCCGGTGCTGTTGGGGGTCCCGTGGGGCTGGTGCAGGGTGAGCTGCTCCCAGCCTCGCTCGTGCTCCGAGGACGGGTTGCAAAGGTCAAGTGCAGAGGTTGGGGGCAGAGTCCACACCGGGGTACGTGCCTGGCCCTCCCCTGCCACGCTCCAGAGCTTTCCCTCCTGGGGGGCCTGTCTCTTGTTTTCAGACCCCCCCCCCCAGCCCTGTGGTCTACAGGTCCCCAAGGAAGGACGGGCTGGTGACACCCTGTCACCAGCTGTTGATGGAGCTGGTGGCATGGGGTGGGGGGGGGGGACATGGCGACAGGCACACGTGTACTTTAACCCGGCACCACAGCCCTTTAACACCACCCACCCCCCCCCCTTCTATTGCCACCTTTCCAGTGAGCACCAGGGATGGACAAACAGACGCTGGACAACCAGATGGCAGTGCTTTGAGCCCTCCCCCCACCAGGGTTTTCAGAAGGGCTCCCACCCCCAGCGCCTGCCTATCGGTGTCCCCACTGGGGTATCACCCACCACCCCGTGTCTCCCCACACCCCGCCTGCCCCTACAGATAGAGATGCCGCGTCCTTTCCTCCGGGGACGGAGGTTTGGGTGGAGAAGGGGCAGATAAGGGGCTGGTGCTCGGGGGACGGGCTGGGTGGCGGATCCCGGGTGCTGTGTGGGATCGGCCGTGGGGGAAGACGGGAACTTTCCCACCGCTGCCCATCCCTCAGCTGTGCCACGACCTTGGCCAAGGACGGTTCCTGGTGTGGTGGGCTTGGGGACCACAGGGCAACAGTCCCTGTCCCCAGTGTGTGCCACCTTGTGAAAGGGGGGTTTAAAACCAGCTGGGGGGGGGGGGTGTGCATTTGGGGGTGCTGGATGGGGAGGGAAGTGGGGGGGCTTTGGGGCAGGACGGAGGTGCCAGGAGCCCTGGGAGGTTGGGTGGAGGCACGTCACCGATCCCAAACCCCCCTGGATCCGGAAAGGTGGGTGCAGGAGGGCGGCTGGATGTGCCCCTGAACCACATCTGGGCAGCGGGGATGGCACAGAGGCACATCCCACCCCGGTCCAGCCCTCCAGGAGTGGGGACCGTGCACAGCACATCACACCGAGTGCCCACCGTGTCCCAGTACCTCTGTGGGAGCCCCTTGCCGGCATCCCATCGCACCCAGTTACCCCCCGGCACAACGGCATGCGTTAGTTCCTGGATGCCGGGGAATGAAGCTGCATGGTATTCCCAGCTCTGGGAATGAAACTGGGAGAAACCCTTGGCCAGGTCAGCCGTTGAGCATCGCATTTGAGATGGGTCGGTGACATGCTGGGAGGAAGGGGGGGAAAAAAAAAAAAAAAAACCACAACAAAAAACAGTGGCAGCACTGCTTGCTGGCACCCCAGCTCCATGCTGGGCTGGCTGGCTGGGGAAACTGAGGCTCGGCGAGCTGGGGGGGTGGCAGTGACTTAGCAAAGGTCGTGCCGTGAGTCAGCAGTGCGCTGGGAACGGGACCCAGCACCCCGGCTGTCAGCGCTGGCACCTTTCTGCCCGGTGACGTGCTGGCATCCACCTCGAGACCCCCGCCCGCATCCTCCCTCGGCTCCTTCCACCTCCCTTTGAGGCTTTCTCGGGGAATTTATGGCTGCGCTCCTCGCGCTGGCTGGAGCCGGGGGGGTGTGTGTTATTTTTAGACGCTATAAAAAGCAGCCGGAGTCGCTTTCGCTCTATTCCCGCTTGGCGCCTCGGGAATATTCACGCTCGGTGAAACAGCACCTGCCAGCGGGGTCCGTGCCGGTTGCTCGTGGACCCCCGTGGTCTTTGCCGTGCCGGCCCCGCGGCCGGTCACCCCGTTTTTTTGCTAGGGAAGGAGGGGTGTCCCAACAGCAGGACGGCATCACCCGGCACCCCGACGCCTCTTGTCTTTTCCCCCCCAACATCCCCACGCCCCGACCCCCGGGCTGGAGGCGATGCCTCTGGCTTCACCGGCACCACCGGCCCGCCTCTCGCGCAAATTTGCTGAGCTAAATATGTCTGAGCCAGTCTAGACAAGAGCTTATGGCGGCCGCTCCTCGGCCTTCCCTTCGGGGTGGCAGAAGGGGAGCCCCCGCTGCCCCAGCACTGGTGGGCGCAGCCCCTCGTTTTATTAACCGCTGTTCTTGCCCACCAGTGGGTGAATTCCCAAGGAATAATGTTTTCCTCTCTCCCTGGGCTCTGTCAGTCAGTCGGATGCGGCGTGCGGGACACCCATGTCCCAGCCGGTGGGTGACATCCCGGTGTCGGGGGGAGCCGGGGCTCTGCCATCCCCGATTCTCACCCCGTCCTTTGTGTCGCACAGATTGACGAGATGCCGGAAGCTGCAGTAAAATCTTCCTCCAATAAATACCAAGTCTTCTTCTTTGGGACCCACGAAACGTGAGTGGGGCCCCGGTGCGCGCGAGAGACGGGGACGAGGGGGGCACTGCTGGATCCCGATGGCCCCAGGGGTTTTGGGGAGAGGTGAGACGTGTGTGTGTGTCCCCCCTCAGCTGCCATCCCTCACTGCTTCCCCCCCCCTCCCTCCGAGCAGGGCATTCCTGGGGCCCAAAGACCTCTTCCCTTATGAAGAATGCAAGGAGAAGTTCGGGAAACCCAACAAACGGAAAGGGTTCAGCGAAGGTTTGTGGGAGATTGAGAACAACCCCACCGTCAAAGCCTCCGGCTACCAGGTGGGTCATGAGCCTGGGGGGGAAGGTCCTGGTGCCTTGTGTCCCCCTCCGGTTGCCTCCTTCCAGCCCCGTCCCCACCTCCCGGGTCCCCCTCTGTGAGTCCCCCGTGTCCCCTCCAGCCCACCCAGAAGAAGACCTGCCCTGAGGACGCCGAGCCGGAGCGGGAGCCCGAGGGCGACGGGGAGAAGAAGGGCAACGCGGAGGGCAGCAGCGACGAGGAGGGGAAATTGGTGATCGATGAGCAGTCCAAGGAGAAGAATGAGAAAGCCGGGATCAAGAGGAAAGCAGAAGATGCTTTGGAGGTAAGGGGGGTAACGGGGATGCGGGTGAGGCGGGGGGGGTCCGGGGCTGGGCTGAGCCGAGCTCCCCCCGCCCAGGATTCCCCCAAACGCACCAAGGAGGTGGAGGGGCAGGAAGGGGAGAAGAAAGTAGACAATGAAGAGGCCCCCAAGGAGGAGCCGAAACCCAACCTGGCCGAGGGGGAAAAGGAGAAGAACAGCGACGCCGCCGGCGTGCTGGACGCCAACGAAGCCAAGCAGGAGAGCAAGGAGAAAGCGGGCGCGGAGGAGGTCAGAGACCATAAGGAGAGGTGAGGGTGGTGTGGTGACCCCCATCCCCAACAGCTGGGCTCCTCCCTTGCCCGGCCTGGGCATGGGGGAATGTCCCCGGTAACGTGGAAAAGGGGGGGGGTCTTGGTGCTGTGGGGTCTGTGACCGAGTGCCTGGGTCTCTTTTTGGCTCCCGCAGCCTGTAGCGGTCTCCCCGGCGAGCTGATCTTCCCGCCTGCCCCATCCCCGCTGGGCTCCCCGGGTGCTGACCCTCGTCGGCTCGTCGCGTCCGCAGCTCCGGACAAGAGAAACAAACCGAAAATGGAATTTAAACAAAACAAAACAAAAAAACACACACACACACACAAATAAAAAAAAAAAAAAAAAAAAGAAAAATAAAAGAAAAAAAAAAAAAAAGAGAAATGAAGAGAAACCCGGTAACACGAACCCCTGAACCGACCCGCATCTCCCGGCCCCGCCGTCGCGGGGCGCATGCTTTGTATTAGTGATTTCTAGGGGGCTGATCAGTTGATTTGAAATAAAAGCGATTCATGCCTTTTTAAAGCGCTTCCACCAGCGTCTTCGTGCCCCCGGGGGGGGGGGGGGGGTCGGCCCCTTCCCGCCGTGCTAGCGGTTTTGGGGTGCGCTGACCCCGCAGTGGGGGGGGGGGGCTGCTGCTGGAGAGGGGCTCTGGCATCCCCTGGCAGTTTTGGCTTGGGGTTTTTTGGTGCTGAAGGGGGGACCAGAAGAAAATGCAGGAAGGGATTGGAGCAAACTGGGACTTTTCCTGGGGAGAGAATTGTTGGAAAGAGGGAAAGGGGGTGTGTGTGGGGGGGGTGGTTTTAAGAGGGGAGATGTTTAATAAAGTAGAAAATCAAAGCAGGGAGGTGAGGGGCTGCTTCGGAAGGGGCTCGGCTGTGCCCGGGCTGGTGATGGAGCTTCGCCCCCCCCGGGATCAGCCCCGGGGGCGGCCGGCGGCTCCCGCGGCAGAAAATGGAGCCCTGGCCGTGCGCCAGCCCCGCCGCCGAACTACAACTCCCAGCTTCCCCGGGGCCGGGCTCCCGGGGGGGGGGGCGCTTCCCCCCACCCCGGTCCCGCGTGGGGAGGTGCAGGGCCGAGCCCAGGGAGGGGGGTGGGGGGGGGTCGGGGGCCTCCCTACAGCTCGGCCCCACGCCCCGGGCCTGCGGGGGGTGTGGGGGTGGCGGGGACTACAACTCCCGGCGTGCCCCGCGGCGTGCGGGGCGGCTTAACCCGTGCGCGGCCGCTCCCAGGATGCACCGCGCCAGGGGGCGGGGGCGCGGACTACAGCTCCCGGCATGCCGTGCGCCGCGCTTTCCCGCCCCCCCCCCCCCCCCCCCGGGTCTGTAGGCGCGGGCGAGGCGAAGGTGAGCGGGGGGGGGGGGGGGCTGGAAAGTGGGGGGGTTCTGCCGAGTTCCTGGGTGCACTCTGGGGGGGGCTGCCGGGTGCCTGAGTCCCTTTGGTGGGGGGGGGGGGCTCTGTCGGGTGCTGGGGTCCCCAGTGAGGAGTGGGGGGGCTCTTGTCAGGGTCCCCTTTGATGGCGGGGGGGGGGCGCTCTGCTAAATTCCTGGGTGCCCTTTGCGGGGAGGGGGGGGCCTTGTGGGACGTCTGGGTCCCTTTGAGGAGGGGAGGGGGCTCTGCCGGCTCCCTGTGTCCCTCAGAGACCCTGCCAGGGTCCCTTTTGATGGTGGGGGGGGCTCTGCCGGATTCCTGGGTCCCCTTTGAAGAGTTGGGGGGGGGGGGGAGGGAAGTCACTGCCGGGTGCCTGAGTCCCTCGGGGGGGGTGGGGGGGTGGCTCTGTCGGGGTCTCCTTTGCGGGGTGGGGGGGGGCTCTGAAGGGCACCTGGGTGTCATTCCCCCCCCCCCCCCTTCAGAAGCACATCACCTTGAGGAGCAGCGGGGAGGGGGTACCCCGAGGGGCGCAGGGGGCCCCCCCCCCCTCCATGACCCCCCCACTCCCCCCAGCACCATGCGCCTCTCGGCCCTGCTGCGCGCGGGGTGCCAGCAGCTGCCCCCCGGTTACCGGCACGGCACGTGGCCCCCCGACACCGCCAACGCCCAGCGCCGCAACCCCCCGGGGCTGCGCCGCCGCAAGGTCTTCGTCGAGCCCATCGCCGAGGAGGACTGGAAAGTGTTTCAGGGTGACACGGTGAGCGTGTGGCCCCCCTCTTCTCACACCCCACCCCACCCCCCCGCCAAGGATGGAAGGGTGGGGGGGAGGGGGGGGGCGCTCCCCTTCACCCCCCTCTTTTTGCCGCAGGTCCAGCTCCTCACCGGGAAGGATGCGGGGAAGCAGGGGATGGTGACCCAGGTCGTGCGAGCCCGCAACTGGGTGGTGGTGGAAGGGCTGAACACGGTGAGGGGGCTGCTGGGGCGTTGAGGTGAGGGCGGGGGGGTGGGGACACACACATACAGGGTGTCAATAACCCCCCCATCCCATCCCAGCACTACCGCTACATCAACCGAACCGCCAAGTACACCGGGACCTACATCGCCAGCGAGGCGCCGCTGCTGCTCAACCAGATTTCCCTGGTTGACCCTGAGGACCGGTAATAGTTTTGGGGGACCCTGCTGTGAGCCCCCCCACCTCAATGAGTCCTGTCCCGTCCCGTGTTGTGTGTGTGTGTGTGTGTGTCCCCCACTCCTTCTCAAACGTTTTCTGCCGGCAGGAAGCCGACGGAGGTGGAATGGCGATACACGGAGGAAGGCGAGCGGGTCCGCGTCTCCCTGCGCAGCGGCCGGATCATCCCCCTGCCCCTGAAGCAGCGCAGGGACGGCATCGTCCCCGAGCAGTGGATCGGTGAGTGGGGACATTGAGGGGGGGTGGGCTGCTGGAATGGGGGGGGGGGGGGGGGTGGTGTCCCCCACCCCTGAGGGGCTCAGCGCCATCCCTTCGGCTGCACGCAGATGGCCCCAAGGACACGACGGTGGAGGATGCGCTGGACAAGACGTACCTGCCGTCCCTGAAGACTTTCGAGGAGGAGATCATGGACGCCATGGGGATCGTGGAGACGCGCAGGGCCAAGAAATCCTACTGGTATTAACTGGTGGGGGACGGGGGGGGAACCAGGACCCACCCCAGCGTCGGGGTTTACAATAAAAACACCCCTTGATTTTTTTCCCCGCTGGCAGCGCGTTGGTGCTTTTGGCAGCCCCCCGACTCCCACCAAGCCCTGGGTTGTTCAAATCCCGGTTTTATTGTGGTTTGCGCCCGGCAGCGGGAGCTGGGGGGCTCTGCCCCTCTCCGGGGGGCTCCGTCACCCCCTTCTCCTCATCCTCGCTGCTGTCCTCATCCAGGCCCGACAGCACCGTGCCCAGCGGGGTCCGCGCGGCCACCAGCACCAGGTTGCGGGGGGAGAACTGGGGGTCGAAGAGGGGAACGAGGGCGCACTGGAAACCTGCTGGGAAAAGAAGTGGGGGGGGGGGGGGGGGGGTCGGTACTGAGAGCACCCACCGTGCCCCCCCCCCCAACCCCGCGGCGGCACCCACCTTGCTCCCGCAGGTAGAGCAGGCGGTCGAGGAGGATGAGGGTCTCCACCAGCGGGGCCAGCAGCAGGGTCAGGCTGAAAAAAGCCACCACTTTGTGCTGCTGCTCCAACATGGCCACCACGGCTTCCGAGTCCAACGGGACGGCGGCCGGGTCCAGCCCCACGCGGGGCAGCCCCAGGCGGGCGTACCTGCGGGGTAACGTGTCACGTTAAAAGGGGAAAAAGGGGGGGGGGGGACACACACACGCGCACCCCCCCACAAAAAGGGGTGTCCCACCCCAAACTCACTGGGGGAAGCTGAGGGCGTGCGCTTTCTTCACCGTCTGCACCCCCAGGCGCTTCTTGCCGGGGTCGGCGGCTCGGATGAGGGTCTCGAGGACGGCGCGGTAGCAGTGGGTGCGCAAGCAGCCGCTCTCCCCCGCCAGCCGCCCCGCGTATTCCTCCAAGGCGTGACAGGCACCTTCCCGAGCCCGGTAAGAAAGTTGGTGGCCAGGTAATCCGGCTACCCAAGCGCTCAGCGGGTAGCCCAGGGGCTCACCCCGGGGTTGGGTGGACAGTTTCATGTGGCAGCAGGCTACCGAAGCGACGGCGGCCACGGCCGGGCTGCGGGCGAAGAGGCGCAGGAGGGCTGGGCTGAGGTCCCCGCAGGCGTGCAGCCCCGTCACCAGCAGCCGGGACCCCCCCTCGCACCCCCCCGGACCCCCCAAAGGATTCCGGGCAGCGGGTCCCGGTCCCGGGGGATCGGGGGGCAGCAGGAACTCCCCCCAAGGAATCTTGGGGTCCAAGCGGCCGGCTACATGGCGCGGGCACCGGGGGGTGAGAGGAGCTGGGGGGGGGCAGCGGGGGCGGTTCTGGCAGAGCCGGGGGGGCCCCTCGTTTTCCGGGGGGGCCCCCGTTTTACCCAGCTGCCGTAGCAGCTCCTGGTCGAAGCGCTCCGCCGCGCTGGCCAGGCGGCCGTCACCCTCCAGCGCCGTGACTGATAAACCGAGGCCGAAGGCCAGGAAGCGTGAGAGGTGGCCCTGGGGGGGGGGGGGACACGACACACAGGTGCTCAGCTGGGGGGACACACACACATTTCCCACCCCCCCCCCTCCAGGACCCCCCCCCATCACCCCCCAGTTCCTACCTGCCCCGCTCCGACGTCCACCACGTGGTCGCAGCCGGTGGCCTGGCTCAGCCGCTGCAGCAGCTGTGGGGAGATTGGGGGGGGATTTGTGGGGGTTGAGGGGGGCTGAGGAGGGGTTGGGGGGGGCTGGGGGGGTCAAAGAGGGTTCTGGGGGTTGGGGTTGGTCTTGAGGGTTTTGGGGGGGTGGGGGGGGTGTTTGGGGAGGCTCAGGGGGCCGGGGGGATTTAGGAGGGTTTGGAGGAGCTGGGGATATCAGGGGGGTTCGGAGGGGCTGGGGGGGCTTGGGGGGATTTGAGGGGAATGGGGAAGTCGGGGGGGGGCGGGTCTGGAGGGGTTTGGGGGGTTTGAAGGGGGGTTGGAGAGGCTGGGGGGATTTGGGGGGGTTTGGAGGGGCAGGGGGAGTTCAAGGGGTGGGGGGCGGTTTGAGGGGGTGGGGGTGGGGTTTGGGGAGGCTCAGGGGGCCGGGGGGATTTAGGGGGATTTGGAGGAGCTGGGGATATTAGGGGGGTTCGGAGGGGCTGGGGGGATTTGGGGACTGGGGGGGCTTGGGGGGATTTGAGGGGAATGGGGAAGTCGGGGGGGGCGGGTCTGGAGGGGTTTGGGGGGTTTGAAGGGGGGTTGGAGAGGCTGGGGGGGCTTGGGGGGATTTGAGGGGAATGGGGAAGTCGGGGGGGGCGGGTCTGGAGGGGTTTGGGGGGTTTGAAGGGGGGTTGGAGAGGCTGGGGGGATTTGGGGGCTGGGGGGGCTTGGGGGGATTTGAGGGGAATGGGGAAGTCGGGGGGGGGTCTGGAGGGGTTTGGGGGGTTTGAGGGGGGGTTGGAGAGGCTGGGGGGGTTTGGAGGGGCAGGGGGAGTTCAAGGGGTGGGGGGCGGTTTGGGGGGATAGGAAGGTTTGAGGGGTTCAGGGCGGGTTTGAAGGAGCTGGGGGGGTTCAGGGGTCGGAGGGGTTTGGGGGGGTTCGGGGTTGTCGCAGGGCGGGGGCACCCACCTTCCCCAGGCGCCGGATCTCGTGCTGCTTTTTGGGCTTGACGTGGCGGCGGAGCAGGGGGTGCAGGCGGGCGCTGTGGCAGGGGGGGCGCGGGGCCCCCCCCGGCTGCCCCCGGGGGAAGGCGAGGGCCCGGGCGGCGGCGGCGAAGGCCAGGAGGGAGAGGGGCCAAGTAGCCCCCGGGGCCCCCCCCCGGCCCCCCAGGAGCCCGGCCAGCTGCGGGGGGGCGGCGGTGGCCAGGGCGGCCTGCCAGGGCGGGGGGAGCTGCGCCCACAAACCCTCGGCGAAGAAATCCTGGGGGGCAGAGGTGGGGGGGGGGGGTGTCAGGGGGGATTGGGGGGGTCGGGGCGGGGGGGGGACACGCGCGGGGGCCACTCACGATGACGTAGGCGTCGAGCAGGGGCCGGTAGAGCGTCAGCAGGCGGATGATGTCGGCCGCTCGCTGCCGCTCCTGCTGCAGGGCCGGGCGGGGGGCGGCCGCCATGGCGGAGGAGGGCGGGGCGGGGGGTGTGACGTCAGCCCTGTGACGTCAGCACAGGGTTGAGTCCCCTGGGGTTGTGATGTCACCTCTGAATGTCACACACACACACACGCGCGCGCGTGCGCGCACACACCCCCTTCCTCTGGCTGTGACCTCCCAGGGCTGTCGCATCCTCAGGCCATAACGTCTCTCTGGAGCCATGACGTCACCAGGCAGTGACATCACCCAAGGATGTGATTGCCCCTCCCACACCCATGACATCACCTGGCCGTGACATCACCCAGTAAGACACGCCCAGCAGCCATGGCATCACCCAGGGATGCAATTTGGCCTCCCACGGCCATGACGTCACCAGGCAGTGACATCACCCAAGGATGTGATTGCCCCTCCCACACCCATGACGTCACCTGGCCGTGACATCACCCACCGAGGCACGCCCAGCAGCCATGATATCACCCAAGGAGGCAATTTGCCCTCCCACGGCCACGACGTCACGGGGCCACGGCATCACCCAGCATGGCGCCCCGTGCGGTCATGACGTCACCAGGCCGCTCCCGCGGCCCGCCGCCGAGCCGCGCCACGGGCCCTCGACGTCACCCGCAACGTCAGCGTCCCCCCCCCGCTCCCCGGGCCATAGAGCCGCCCCGCCGGCGGGCCAGAGCGGCCCCACTCACCGCCCGGCCCCGCCGCCTTCCCGCCAACGCGCATGCGCGCGAGAGGAGAAGGGCGGGGGGGTGGTGCCCGCGTCGCTGGTTTATCGCGTCACCACCCTAAGGCGCCGCCGGCGTATTGCGTCATCGGCGCCCGCCGCTCCACGCCGGGGCAATTTCCGCTTCCGGGGCGTTGCAGCAGCACCGGGCGGTGGGGGGGTGGGGGGAAAGGGGTCCCGGTCCCGGTCCCGGTCCCGGTCCCGGTCCCGGTCCCGGTCCCGGTCCCGGTCCCGGCCATGGGCGACTTGATCCTCAACCTGGATTTGGCCCCCCCCGGGCGGCGCGGGCGGGCGCGGAGCGGGAACCCAAAGCACGAGCGGTTCGTGCGGCGGCGGCGGGCGCTGGAGCGGCGGGGCGCGCTTAAGCCGAAGCAGCTGCCGGTGGCTCCGCCGCCCGGGGGGGGCTCCCGGAAAAAACCGGGCAAGAGGGGGGGGCGGAGGAAGGCGGCGGCGAGGGGCGGCGGCGCGGAGAGCCCGGTTTGCATCCGGCTCAACCCGGGGCACGAAGCGAACGGGCCCGCCTCCCCCCCCCAGCAGCGCGGCGGCGGCGGCTCGGCCGGTTCCAAGGCACCGGAGGTCCCCGCCAAACCGCGGCGAGCGGCTCAGGGCGAACAAAGAGCCCCCAGCCACCCCACCCGGCCCCGCAAACTGGTGGCCATCGACTGTGAAATGGTGGGCACCGGGCCCGGCGGCCGCACCAGCGCCCTGGCCCGCTGCAGCATCGTCAGCGAGGGGGGAGACGTCCTGTACGACCAGTACGTCCGTCCCACCGCCCCCGTCGTCGACTATCGCACCCGCTGGAGCGGCATCCGACGGCAGCACCTGGTGAACGCCGTCCCCTTCGGAAAAGCGCAGCGGGAGGTGAGCCCCTCGCCCGTGCGCCTGGAGGGGGGGGGGCTGCATTTTTAATTTCGGGGGGGTTTGTCAGGCTGTGGGGGGACTCGGCGTGGGCGAGCGTTGCCCGTGTCCCCACCTGGCCTTTGCAGCAGAGGGAAAACCTCCCCATGCTGCTGCCGCTCCTGTTCAATCCCACGTTTTCGCATCCCCGGGGCGCGAGCAGGGGTGGAAACCGACCGTGAACCGTCCTCCCTCTTCATCTTCCCTCCTCAGATCCTGCGCATCCTCGCCGGGAAGATCGTGGTCGGCCACGCCATCTGCAACGATTTCAAGGCGCTCAAGTACTTCCACCCCAAAGCGCTCACCCGGGACACGTCCAAAATCCCTTTGCTGAACCGTAAGGGCGGGTTCCCCGAGCACGTCGCCATCTCACTGAAGCGCCTCACCAAGGAGCTGCTGCACAAGGACATCCAGGTAGCTCGGCTGCCTCCTCTTCCTCCTCCTTCTCCTCTTCCTCCCTGATCTCAGCAGCCGCCACAGGGTGCCGCTGCGAAGCTGCCACCTCAGCCAGGGGCTCCCCCTGCTCCTCGCCACGAGCTGGGGAGTGGCGTGGGGATCCTTCTGCTGCACTGGGGTGTCGAGGCGGGGAGATCCGTCCCCGGGGGGGAAAGATTCAGGTTTCACACACTGCCCTGAGACCGGGGCGCCCTGAGTTCGGCCGCTGCTGCCAGTCCTGGGGAGCAAGGCAACCCCCGTGCCTCAGTTTCCCCTTCCCTGGAAGCCAGCCCACGGGAGGAGGGATCCCCGCAGCATCAGAGGGGGGGATTTTTTTCTGCTCAAGCGGTGTCACAGCAGTGGCTCAGGCTGTGTCCACCCCCTGTCTCTGTCCCTGACAGGTCGGGAAGAGCGGCCACTCCTCGGTAGAGGACGCCCGAGCCACCATGGAGCTCTACAAAGTGGTAGAGGTGGAGTGGGAGCAACACCTGATGCTGAACCCCGAGAAGGAGTGACGGCCCCACAGCCCAGTCCTGCACCCCAAAAGGGACCCTGAGCCCGCGGGGAGGAGCAGCGAGGGCCGAGGGGCTGCTCCGTCCGTCCGTCTGGGCAAGGTAGCAGAGACAGACAGACAGTGGGAGCGTGGAGCCAGGCGTGACTGTCCCTCGGCCCCATGCCTCCCGATGTGCCTTCTTACACCGCTGCTGTTTCCTTCCACCTTCCCCCAGGAACGGGGGGGGGGACGGGGGGGAGAGCTGGGACCAACCTGTGCCTTCCTGACTTGGGGGGAGCAAGAAGGGGGGGGTCTGTCTCTGATCCCACGCCCCCAGAGGCGCCGATAACACCCCGAGCCAGAGTGGGGCCGCATGCAGCAGTGGGGCTCTGCCGGCTGCACTCGCCTCAAATACAGGCCCAGGCCCCCAAAGCGGGGGGGGGGGAAATCGGTGCTTGAGGCGGGGGGGGCGGTGTGTGTGTGCTCCTTCCCCTCCCACTCCTTCCAAAACTACCTCTGACAAGGGCAGGAACAGCCAAAGGGCTCCGGGCTGCGGCGTGGGAGTGGGCAGCACCCAGCGGGCGGGATGCAGATCCTGCCGGAAAGTCCCCACTCGGATTTCGGAGCTGTTTTTCCTGCCCCCCCCCCCCAATGATTTAGGTGCCACCTTCCTCATTGTGTAAGTGCTGCTGCAAGGGCGGGGGCTGGGGCGAGCCCGGGCACGGGGAACCGGTGTCACCCCGCTTGCTGATCGGGCGTTTGTTCCCTGAACTCTTGAACGTGCCCCAGAGTTCTCAGGCTGCCCCCGGGGCAGGGGAGGGGGGTGGGGGTGGAGGGAGGGGGCTGCTTTGAACTGAAATGTTGATGTACAAAAACCCCAATTAAAAAGAAGTGATTAACGAGCCCTTCCTTGGAGGGGGGGGTGGGGGTGGGGATGGAGTGGAGCTCCAGGCCCTGGGGTCGGCCCTCGGCTCCGCATCAGATTCCCCTTCTCGTTGTTTGAAATCCAAGCGTTTTTTTTTTTTTTTTTTTATTCCCCCCCCCTCCCCACCTCGCTGAGGCTGACCTCTGAACTGGGCCCAGAGGGGGAGAGCTGGGAGGGGGGGGGGCTGGGGTGTCGCTGGGGAGCAGGGGCTGCAGGCAGCGCCTGGGGCTGAGCTCCCGGGGGACTCGGAGGGGGCTGACGCTGCTGAGCTGGCGCCAGGCTTTGCAGGCCCCTGGGGGGGGGGGGGGGGGGGGGGGGCTGCTGTCAGGCCTCACCCATCGCCTGCCACCATCTGCCTCCCGCTGACCCTTCCTCCCCCTCCTCTTCACGCCAGGTACGAGCGCCAGCTCCTTCCCCCTGCCCAGGGCTTGTGGGGATCCCCCCCCCTCCCCGTAGTTCACCCCTTTTTTATGGTTAAACCGCGGGGAGCCGGCTGCTCCCTGCCCAAACTGCTGACCAGCCCCACGCACGCGGCTCCTCTTCGTCACCGCTGGGGCCCGGAGCGGTGACAGTGACAAGGGCCACCATGGGGGATCCCTCCCTCCCTCCATCCCGCGCTTGGGCTGGATGCGGCCCCAGCGGTCCCCAGCTTCCCCCCCCCCCGGCGCACGTCACATTTTCCAGGCTTTCGGTGTGTTTACGTGGCTGCGCTCGGCTCCCAGCAGCGGAAACTGAGGGGGGAGTTTTTTGGGGGGGGGGGGGGGGGGTACGACACCCCCGAATCCCCCACAGTCAGGCAGCCGTTCCCCTTTTATTTGCAATTTAAGCACTAAAATCTGGGTTCCCCCTGCAGCGTGTCAGGGAGGAGATGCCTGAGCACCCCATGGGCTGGGATTTTGCAGGTTTTTCCGGGGGGGGGGGCAGCTTTCCAGAGCTCTCCCCTGCTCCCAGAGCCTGCGTGTGCACCCGGGTCCTGCGTTGCACATTCTGGGATGGGAAAGCTGTTAGAACCCCAAAAATCCAAAGGAAGGTGAGAGCGGGGAGGAGAAGCCGGGAGCCTTTGTGTCTGGGCTGGGTTTGAAAGCGATTGGGGTTGGGGGGGGCGGAGTTTTATGAGCTGGGTTATAAATGGCCGGTCGTTAAATTTCTTTTTTTTTTTTTTTTTTTTTTTTTTTTTAAAATGTCTTTGGAAATGAGAAGCAGGCGGCCGGGCCCCAGCTTGTCGGCAGATGCTGGCTGCAGCTCGGGGTCGGAGGGGGGTTTCACATCCACGAGCCGGGGGCCGGGGACCCGTCGTGGCGGCAGCCGCCGGCGCAGCGGTGGCCGTGGGGCGCGTGGGGTCCCTCCCCACCCCACAGCCGGGGGTCCGGGCTGGCTGCTGGGCCGGGGCAGGGCACGGTCGCGCCGGCCAGCTGCGTTTCATTTCCGCAGCGGCCGGGGAAGGCAGAGAGGAGGAGGAGGAGGTGGGGGGGGGGGGATTAGGGGGGGGCTGCACCCCGCCAGCTGGGATGGATTTGCAGGGCGACTCAACCCCACGCCACGATTGCAGCCACATCCCCTTCCCCCACGAGGGACTTGGGAGCGGTGACAGCATTTGGGGGGACACACGCACGCACCTATGGGGGTGCTGAGCAGGGGAGGGAGCCGTGCCCAGGCTTGGGGGGGGGGTGGGGGGGGTGGGGGGGGCCCAGCGCTCAGGACTTCTGTGGTTTGGGAGGATTTTTGTCGGGAAGGGGGGAGCGGGGCAGCGGCGGCCGGTGCCAGTTGTTTCCAGAGGCCGAGCCAGCTGCTGCCGCCCGGGCACCGCGACGCTGCTCCTCGCCTGCCTCCGCTTCTCCCGGGGTTCACCGGCTTGCCCGGGGTGTGTGTGGGGGTGTTATTTGGTACCATACCCCCCCCCATCCCCCCCCCCCCCCCCCCCCCCCCCCCCCCCCCGGGGCTTTCCCGTGATGGGAAGGAGGGAGAGGAGGGTGGGGTGCGAAGGTTTTATCCGCCCTTCCCGGCAGAATCCCTTCCAGATGTGGGGCTGCCGGGACCAGCGTTCGTAACCCCGCCGGGTCACCGTGGCCAGCGCAGCCCCAACCTGCCAGAACAAGGGGGGGGTCCCCGTGGGGATTGGGGTGCCCCGAGGGTGTGGGGTACAGCCAAATCCCCCCAGCCCCCTTCCACCCACTTCCCCTGCAAAATGAGGCTTTTTTTTTTTTTTTTTTTTTTTTTTTTTTTTTTCCCAAAAAAACTCGGAGCAAACATGTGGCATCGCCTCTTTCTGTGACTCCGTGATGGGGGTACACAGCTCCTACGCCCCTGGGGTGAAGGGCTTGGGGTGACCCTTCCCCTGCACCCCCTCCCCAAACCCCTCTGGCTCTGCTGGGGGGGAGGGTGGGGGGGTTGCAGAGATCCCTGTCCCCTCTGGCATCCCGTCGAGCATCGGCGTCGCTGTAGGTAAGGTTGTGTCAGCCCTTTGTTATAAATCCTGTTCTTCGGGGGATTAGAGACTTGCTGCAAGCCAGAACTTGGCTCACCAGCACCACAGCCGGGAGATTTTTGGGGGTGAGGGGGGACGTGGCCGGGGGTGACAGTGGATCTAATGGGGCGTTTCCACCCCAAACTGGAGCAGAAATCTTTCTCCTTCCATTTCAGAGCTGATGATGAACCAGAAACGCCATTTCTTGCTCACCCGCTGGGTTTCAGCCGGGGCCAGCACCGCGGCACAACCTGCCCCACGCGACACCTTCCTCCGGCTGGTTGAGGAGGAGAGAAACCCCAGAAAATAATTCATCGCGCTTTACCCCGGGCCCAATTTATCAGGGCTTTAATCTAGCGTTAGCACTTCATCTTCTTGCTCTCCCCCAGGCCCGCAGCCAAAGCAAACCTGACGCAGGTCACAGAGCTGGGGGGGTGGGGGGGGGTGTGACGCAGCCCCCCCCGCTCCCTGGCCGTGCACACACATGCGTGTGTGTGTGTGTGTGTGCAGGCGCCCGCATGCCACACGCGTGTGCGAAAGCACGGCCAGGCAAATCGCCCGCCCGCGTGTGCTTACGAGCACCGGCGGGCACACGCGTGTGCAAACGGCGTGCGGGCGTGTGCGCAAAAACACGCGTGCCGAATGCACACGCGTGGGCTCCGGGGGTGTCTCCCTCCCGGCGTGCGCACGCCCCAGGGGTGCCCAGCCAGCACCCAGTTTGCTGCTGGGGTGTGAGTGGACGCGGGGCCGGGCAGCTCTGGGGGTGCAGGGCAGGTCTGCGGGGTGTGCAGGGAGATTTGGGGGGGGGGCTAGGGAGCTCATGAGGATGCAGGTAGATTTGGGGGGGGGGGTAGGGAAATTGCGGGGGTGCAGGCAGATTTAGGGGGGTGTAGGGAGCTCAGGGGGGTGCAGGCAGATTTGGGGGGGTGCAGGGAAATTGCGGGGGTGCAGGCAGGTTTAGGGGGAGTGCAGGGAGATTGGGGGGTGCAGGCAGATTTGGGGGGGTGCAGGGAAATTGCAGGGGTGCAGGCAGGTTTAGGTGGGGTGCAGGGAGATTGGGGGGTGCAGGCAGATTTAGTGGGTTGTAGGGAGCTCAGGAGGATGCAGGTAGATTGGGGGGGGGTGCCAGCAGATTTATGGGGGTGTAGGGAGCTCAGGAGGATGCAAGGAGATTGGGGGGCTGCTGGCAGGTTTAGGGGGGTGTAGGGAGCTCGGAGGGGTGCAGGGAGGTTGGAGGGGTGCAGACAGCTCAGGGGCGATGCAGACAGTGTGGGGGGTGCAGGTGCAGGCGGTGTGGGGCGTGCAGACAGATTGGGGGGGGGCTCAGGCATCTCGCGGGGGGGGGGGGGATGTGTGTAGTTTAGAGGGGGTGCAGGCGGCTGGGGGGGTGCCTCCAGCCCGCACCCCCCAGGGGCAAATTGGGGCGGGGTGGGGGGAGGTGGTTGGGGGGGGGGGTGTCCCGCAGGTGAGCGCAGAGCCCCCGGGAGCGGGGCCGGGGCCGGGGGCGGAGGGGGTGGGACCAGCCCGGCGATAAAACGGCGGGCGCGGGCGGGACGGGCCGGGACGGGAGCGCGGCGGGGCCGGGGCCGGTGCCGGTGCGGAGGTAGCGGCGGGTCGCTCGGTGCCGCTCGGTTCCCGCTTTGGTTTCCACCCCCCGCCGCCCCCAACCCGGCCCCGCTCCCCGGTAGCCGCGATGCCCAACTTCTCCGGGAACTGGAAGATGAAGAGCTCGGAAAACTTCGAGGAGCTGCTGAAAGCGCTGGGTGAGTGCGAGCCCCAGCCCCGGGGTCCCCCCCCCCACACACCTCGGGGTTGGCTTGGGGGGGACAGAGGTGCCTGGAGGGGGTGGGGGTCCTGCCCCCCCATCTCCCCTCCAAACCTTTCCTCCAGCTTGGGGTGGGGGGAGCGGATCGCAGAGCCCAGAGCATGTGTGCTGGAGGGGACCCCCCCCTCCGCTCCCCCCCTTTTCACGAAGTGTTGCTTCCGCAGTGGGGAAACTGAGGCACGGGGAGGCGGGGCGGGAGCAGCGTGCCTTGCTCCCGAGGGGTGTCGTGTCGCCCCCCCCCCCCCCCAACCTGCCTCAGTTTCCCCACCATGGTGGCCTCTCCAAGCGCATGCACCTCCAAACTCCTGCCACCCTCACAGTCCCCGTCGCACCGAGGGCTCCCTCCCCCCAGCACCCCGCTCCCGTCACCCCAAAGGCACCCACACCCCTGGGTGCAGCCGGTGTCCCCAAACCCACAGCCCAGATGATGGGACCTTGCCGCGGGGGTGCCCCATCCCCACAGGGCTCGTTTCGGGTCCCCTCCACCTCCCACCACGGTGCTGTGTCCCATGAGTGGGGTTCAGGGGAGGTGGGATTATGGGGCCAGAACCCATCGCAAGGGGGAAAAGTGGGGGGCACAGGCTGTGGGGGTCCCCGGGACTTTGGGCAGGGCCGGAGCCAGCCCCCCCACTGCTCCCCTCTGCCTGACCCTCTCCCCGCCTGCCGGGGAGCTGCCGGAGCAGAATATTTTCCAGGTTAGGGGATACGTAACAAATATTTCAGTATAATTATCACTTTCTTGGATTTCACTCCCCTCGCCCCCCCCCTCGCCCCCTCTCCCCCTCCAGCCCCGCCGGTGAAACTGGCTCAGAGAAACCTCAGCAGGAAAATAAATCTGCCAGCCCGCAGCGAGCCGCTCTTCCTTTCCCACGGCGCGAGCGGGGGGCTCCTGCCCTTTGCCACCCCCCCCCAGTCCCCCTGGCCTTTCAGCAGCTTTGGGGGGGAAGCCGATACCTCCGGACCCCCTGGGCGGAGGGGCTTGGGGGGGGGGGCGGGGCGGGGAATCTGCTCAAGACCCCATGTCTGGTTGCATTGTGCCCCTTCTCCAGCTTTTGCTCCCTTTAGGGGCTGTTTCTCCTCGGGGCCCCCCCCCACCCCCTGAGCATGATGGGCGGGGGGGGCAGATCTGCCAGCAGCCGGGTTTTGGGCACCCCCAGGCGTGAGTCAGGCCTCGGAGGGAGGGAAGGGACTTTGGGGTGGCTGTGGGGGCCCCCAGCGCCCCGGCCATACCCCACAGGGACGTGCCTGTCCCCCAAGTACCCGCATCCCACCTGTGTCCCCGCTGTGGGGCTGGGACTGTCCCTGTCCCCGTCTTTGTGCCGCTGGGGGGTGGGGGGGGAGCCCCTTTCTGGGGGTGCAAGGGGTGGTGACCGGGGCACGATCCCTCTCCCTGGCCGGGTGCCCACCCGCAGCTTTTGGCTGCCGGAGGGTGACACGGGAACAATGTCCCCAAAGAGCAGCTCCCCGGGGAGCTGGGCTGGCCCCGGTGACAGCGGGGGCTCGGGGACGTGATGGATGAGCCGCCTCCGGGAGCGGGGACAAAGCCCCAGCTGCCCTGTGGTTACCGGGGGGCTGCAGGGGGGGGGGGGGCACACACTCACACACACCGTGGGGGGGGTCACGCAGGTCACTCGGCGTGGAGCTGCTCCTCCCCGGCTGAGCTTGTCCCCACCGTCACCCCGTACTGGGGGGAGCCCTGGCCCCCACACACCCTCCCTGTCACACTCATCCATTCCCCCGGGCGCATCCGGAGCTGGCCCCGGCATCGCCCCCCCCCCCCCCCCCCCCGCCACCAGGTAACAAGAGCCAGATGTGGCCCAGATGTGGCAGGAGACGTGGGGGACACACACTCATACATCCCCCTCCTGGGTTGCCTCGAGCTGCCTGCAGTGCTCGGGGTTCCCCCTGTGATGTGGCACTGCCAAACAAGGGGGGGGTCACTCTGTGTGTGTGTGTCCCCCATCATGTTCACCCCCTGCCCCGTCCCTCCCGGGGGGGGGTGAGGGGACCACAGCCAGCCCCGAGGGCCACTTAACCTCTCTGGCTACGGGTCACCGCAGGGAAGGGGCTCCCCCCCAGTGCTGGGGGATGCTGTTGGGGGGGGGGGGGGGGGGAGGAAGGGGGGGGAAGCTCGACGCCGCCGTCCCCTTCCCCAGGCGTCAACATGATGCTGAGGAAGATCGCGGTGGCGGCGGCCTCGAAGCCGGCGGTGGAGATCAAACAGGACGGGGAGACCTTTTACATCAAGACCTCGACCACCGTCCGCACCACCGAGATCAGCTTCAGGATCGGGGAGGAGTTCGAGGAGCAGACGGTGGACGGGCGGCCCTGCAAGGTTGGGGGGGGGGGGGGGAAGACCGCCCCCCACGCGAGTGGGGCAGGCACGCTGGCTCGCGCGTGGGCACGCGTGTTTTTGCGGGAGGGCAGGAGCCATCGCGCGTGTGCGTGCACACCTTTTGCACGAGGGCGGGAGCGCTCGCGCGGGTGCCCACGCGTGTTTGCGCGCCCGTGGCCACGCGCTTCCCCCCCCCCCGAGCTGGGGGCCGGCCCCTCTCCCCCTGCACACCCCCCCACCCCCCCCCCCCCCGGGTGACAGACAAACCTGAGCAGCCACTCGCGCAGGGACAAATGGCCCCATCCATCTCTCGGTGGGTGGTGATGGATTGGGGGGGTGCGTGGGGGGCTTCTTGGGGGGAGTGTGTGTGTGTGTGTCCCCAGTGTCACCCTCTCCCCCCTCTGCAGAGTTTGGCCAAGTGGGAGAGCGAGAACAAGATGGTGTGTGAGCAGCGGCTGCTGAAGGGCGAAGGACCCAAGACGGGCTGGTCCAGGGAGATGACCAACGATGGGGAGCTCATCCTGGTGAGGGTTGGAGTGGGGTGGGGGTGGGGGGGCAAAATTAGGGGGAGGGGGCTCTCTGCCCCACTGCATGCTGGGAAACACCCGTGGGGTGGGGGCCATGGCCGTAACCGTGCCCCTGCTCCTCCTTGCAGACGATGATGGCCGACGATGTTGTCTGCACCAGGGTCTACATCCGGGAGTGACCCCCCCGCTCCGCTGACCCCCGGCACCACATCAGCATTCCCACCGCCCCCCCCCAGCCCTTTTGCCTCCCCCCCATCCCTGTGTGTCCCCCCCCAGCCCCCATTACCCACCCTGTGTCCCCTCCGCTCACCCCACAGCCACAGGGAGGGGGTTGCATCTTCCCAAGGGGCTACATCAGAGCAACCCCCTTTTTTGGGGGTAAACCACAGCTTTTTCGTCCGTCCCCCCACCCAGCACAGGGTTTCTCTAGGGGCAGGAAAATCTCATTTTCTGGCCCCGTTTCTGCCGCCCTCGCTGCAAGACAAAGCACCCGGTTTTTGGAGAGGCGCCGGGGCCGCAGCGGGGGGTAACGCAGACACCTCCCTGGGTCTTTGGGTTGGTTTTAACTGTTTTTGGTTCAGTTTGAATTTTTTTTTTTTTTTTTTTTTTTTTTCCTGAACGCAGCCCCTGGCCCTCACCCTGCCCCGGGGCCGTGCTCACTCTCCCCCCCACCCTGCTCCACGTCCCCCCAGTATTTATTTGTGAATATTGTATCGGAAGGAAACACCAAACAACCCCAACCCATTCAGCTTCAGGTCTGAGCCCCTCCCAGGATCCGAAACCCCCTCCCAAGGATCGTCCCGCCACCTCCCTCCTCTTTTCAATAAATGTTCTACGACCCACCCCCCCCTCCCTGCGGTGTCCCTGTCCCCCCCTCCCCGCGTCCCTGTCCCCTCCCGGCTGGCACCTACAGGGATCCTGGTTGCGCAAGGGGCCGGGGGCGAAGGCGGTGGCCGGGTTGGCACATCCCAGCGTGGGAAGCGAGGGGCAGCCGTGGGGCGGGGAGGGCGGCGTGGGGGCTGGGGTGCAAGCTCACCCTTCGGATTCAACAGCAGCTCCTGTGCAGGGTGGGGGGGGGGAGACCCTTTCCCGGTTCGGCCAGAGGAACCCGGGCACCCATGGGTGCTGCCTGCCAGGACGTGGCTCCCCGGGCTCTTCCTGGGGATGCTCCTTTGGGTGCTGCCTGCTAATTGCCCTAAGTGAGGTGGGGTTAATTACCCCGGGGAGGATGGGTGGGCTCTGCTCGGGGCTCCATGCCCACCCCAATCTTGTCTCTCTTCCTCCCCCCCCACTTTTGGGAGATGCAGCAAAGCTGCTCCCCAGGGTGGGCTGGGACCCCTCAGCTGCAGCAGCCCCAGAGCCACCATGGGGCAGGTGGGGGGGCACTGACACCCCCCCACACACCCCCCCCCGCCAGCACTGGGAGTCCTGCTGAGCCAAAGAGGTGCCTGTGGCTGCCTTTGGGGTGATGGAGGGGGGGCGGAACAACAGCCCTGAGACCCCAAGACCCACCACTGCCTCCTGCCCGGCTGGGGAGGGGCAGCGGTGAGGGGCTTGGGGGGGGGGGGAGGTGATGCAGAGGGAGGGGGGCTGGGATTTGGGGTTTGGCGTCACCCCCCGTGCCCCGGGTGTGATGCTGCACTGCCGGGGAGCGTGTTCAGCTGCAGGAAGGGTGTAATTACACCTTCCCTGGGGAGGAGGAGGAGGAGGGGGAGGAAGGGCTCCGGTATCTCCAGGTGGACACTTGGCAGACGCCCATCGCCCCCGTCACCGTTCCCAAAACGCTGCCAGGGCCACGTCCCGGCTTTCCCAACACCCCCCACCACCGTAACCGGGAGGGGATGGCATCACGGGCGGGACGGGTGCCAGCGGACGGGGTGGGCGCTGCCCCCGGCCCCCTCCCCTCTTCACCAAACCGCTCGTTTTTCTCCCCAAAGACCTCGCAAAAGCCACGACTGGGCAGGAGCAGCCGGTAATGGAAACCAGCCGCTCCCGCTTCTCCCCTTCGAGGAATATCCTCTTTCTCCCCGGTCACCCTGGGGACGGCTCCGATTTGTCTCTCTTCCGAGCCCCCGGGTTTTGGGGGGAGCCCTGGTACCCCAAAAACCGGGGCAGCACATCTGGATGTGGGGCAGGTCCACAGAGCCGCCAGCTGCCTGCACTCCCCCCCCCCCCGCCCCCCCATCCCAGTAATGTCCAGCTACACTGGGGCCTAACTGGGGATCTGGGGGCTCCATCCTGCTCTGCGGGTGCTGCCCCCCATGGTGATGGGGGGGTCGTGGGAGGGATGGGCTGGATGTGCCCCCCCCCCCCCCCCCCCCTCCCGCACGGCCACCCCAGCGCTGAGCCTTGGCTGCTGGATGGCGGCTGCTCCTTAAAACAAAAGCAAATTAATTCCTCCTCCGGCCGCTGCTGGGGGGGCCCCGAGTGGAGTTGGGGGGGGGGGGCCGGGGGGAAGGGCGAATGACCCCAAAACCTTGCGGGATGCTCTGGGCAGTGTGTCGTGTCTTTCCTCCGTCCCCCCCCCCCCCGTCCCCTCCTCCCACGGGACTGCGTGGGTGGTTTCGGGTGCCCCCAGCACCTCTAATCCAGCACTAATCCTCCCCAGTGACCTCGGCGGCCCCGCTGCCCGCCCCCCCCCCCCCCCAAACGCCCACCGCCCTCCCCCCACACCCCCGGGCTGGGGAGGGGGCTCGGGCTGGCCCCTCGCCTTTCATCTACCGGAGACAAAGCGGGGCCCCGGCCCCCCGCCCCGCTTTGTGCTGCGGGTAATGAATGTCCGACCCCGGGCGGGGGGGGGTGGGGGGCTGGCCCCTCACCCCGGCATTTTTCATGCATTTTCTGGAAGCGAAGGCGCGACGGGCCTGGCCCCCCCCCCTCCCCCCGTCCCTGGCCCCCGACCCATGCTGGAACCACTGGGAGGGAGCAGGGGGGGGCTTCGCCCCACCCGTTGTGGGGGGGACACGCTGGCTCTTGTCCCCACCACGGTGAATACCTGCCCGGGGGGGGAAGGACACGACTTGTTGGGCAGGTTTGGGGCTGGGGGGGGGTGTGGGGGAAACATCCTCATCCACTGGGCTGGGATGCTGGGGCGAGGGGGGGTCCTCATTTAGGGAGGGGGGAGAGACAGGGGGCTTGGCCTTAAACCCCCCCCCAGTCTCCTGGTGCTGGGAAGGGGCTGAAATGGCAGCAGCCAAGCTGTGACACCACCACCACCCCCCCCCGGCTCCCTAACAGGGGCCGAGCAGCAGCCGTGTCCCCCCTCCTCAAAAAAATTAGGCTGGGGTCACCCCCTCCACCACCCCCAGCACCCTCCGGGCTGGCTGCCCACCCTGAATGGGCCGGGGGGGTCCAGGCCGGCTGCCAGACACGCCCTCCCCCCAGCAAAGCCCCCCCCGCCCCGTACCCCTTTGTTACGGGTCTCTGGCTGACGATCTGGGGGCTGAGAAGGTGCCAGACTTGGGGGGGGGGGGGGGAGGGGGAGTGTGTCTTTGCCCCTCAGCCCCCCCCGCACCCCCCCCCGGAAAGGGGTTCGGGTAGAGAGCGGTTGGGGTTCCCACCGTGGTGGGGGTGTGTGGGGGGGTCCCCTTCCCCGGGGACGTGGTGACAGGAGGGGACACTTTTTTTTTGAGGGGGGGGGTGACCGACACTTCCCCTCGCCCCGGGGCCGGCTCGTTGCGCTGCTGCAGCACCCAATGCCCTGGGGGGGGCTGGGGGGGCCGGGGAGGGAGCCCCCCGCCCCGCTCCCCCGCGGCTGGCGGCCGGCCAGCATTGTTCTCGCCTCCTCTTCCTCCTCCCCCCCCCCCCCCAACATCTGGCGCCGGACGCTTTCCTGGGAGCCAGGATCAAACCGGGGGGGGGGCGTGGGTATGTGTGTGTGTGAAGCGGGGGTCCTGCTGCAGCCCCCACTGACACCCCCAGGCGAGCGAGGGGCTGCGGGGTTTCACCCCCACCCTATTGCGGTGGGGTGGGGGAGGGTGTTGGGTGTCTTGGCATGTGGAGTGGGGGGGGGCGTGGGGGTGTTTTATGGGGTGTAGCAGCTTGATCTCCAGTGTTTTTTGGGGGGTTCCCCCCCTCCCCCCATTAGTCTAGCTCTGCCCCATAGCGCAGACCCCCGACTCCTGTGCCCTCCCGTGGGGTGAGTGCAGGGTTGAAATGGTGGGGGGGACACACACGACTGTGGTTGGTTTTTTTTTTGGGGGGGGGGGGGGGGTGGGTTTTGCCTCACTTGTGAGGGGCTCCAGGGATGCTGAGCTGATGTGAAGAGTCCAGGGAGGGCAAGAAGGGGGGAGAGGGGGGGGGGGGGAGGTCTGGGGGTGACGAAACAGGGCAGGGTGGGGGTGGTCTGGGGAGGCAGAGGCGACGCAAAGGGTCTAAGGATTATTTGGGGGGCTGGGGACGAGGGGTTCTGGTGAAACAGGGTGAGGGGGGGTCAGATATGGGGTGCAGGGATGACAAGATGGGGAGATTGGCTGGGGGGGGGGGGAAGGGGGCGCTCCAGCTCACCCAGAGCAGGAGGGGAAAGGGGAAAAGCCCCAGCTGGAAGGGGGCAGGACCTGTCTCCCCGCCCCGTGGGTCACCTCCCTGTTGTGCAAAGCCGGGGAAACTGAGGCACGCCCGGCAGATCAAAGCGGGGCGCAGGAGTCACCGCCCGTGCCCCGGCGGCCTCTCCGCGGGGCGCACGGCCCCGCTGCGGGAACATGCAGCCACTCCGCCCCAGGATTTGCTTTTAATGCCATGTACAAAGTCTCCCCCCTTTCTCTCCAAAAAAAAAAAAAAAAAAAAAAAAAAAGAAAATTCTTCCAAAAATAAATTAAAGGGACCAGTCCCCCCCCTCCCCTTACCCCCCACGCGCCCAACCCCATTCTGTTCTGTGCAAAGAGAAAAGAGAAACCCCCTCCGCTCCCCAGGCCTGACCCAGGCTCCAGCAAGGAAAGAAACGGGCAAAGCAAGGGAACTCGGGGGGCCGGGCAGCGGCACCCCACGGCGTGGGGCCAGTGGGTGCCGTGGGGCAGTGGCAGGGACCCCGGTGGGGGCCGGCAGCTGAGCCGGGCACTTCCCATCCTCACCAAATCAGCTTTTGCGGAGGCTTTGCCCCACCGGCTGGGGAAACTGAGGCAGACGGCGAGGCCACCCTCCTCGGTCTGGGACTGCGCTGTCCCGGTGCGGGACATGCCCGCTGGGCTGGCAACGGCCGGATCCGGCCACCAAGCCCACGGCCAGCACAGCAGCAGCGGCTCCTCCGCCAACACGGAGCCAGGATCTGGCTCCCTCTCACAGGTCAAAGAGGGGCCTCGTTCCCCACCTCTTCCCTTGGTGGGATTTTGGGGAGGTGGTGTGGGGGGGGGAACCCCCAGAAGTGGGGCAGCCCCGTGCCTGGCTCCCCGGGGAGGGGGGCGAGGGAGGTTAAGTGCTGTCGGAAAGGCGACCTATGTACATCCCTGAACGTTGACGGCTCTCCGAGCCCCCCCACCCTCCCCAGCCCTGCCCCCGTGAGACGAGCCCCGCTGCCACCCACGGAGGTGTGGGGGGGGGGAACGGGGACGGGGGTGGCTCCGGTTCCCCGCACCCCCCCCCCACCCCCCACCCCCAGCTACGAGGTCTGGCACTGGACGTGTTGGCGCACGCCGTCCTCAAAGTCGTCTTCGTGGTAGGCTTCGCCGGTGTAGGGCCGTCGGCCCGAGCCGCCGTGGGACGTGTAGTCGCTGAGCTCTACCTCCTCCGTGTCCTCGGTGGCCATCACCTCCTCCTGGGGCGGGAAGAAGGCCTGGAGCTGGCGCAGGCGGTCGGTGGGGAGCCAGCCGGGCTCGGGGAACTTCACCTGCGACCGGGAGAGAGGAGATGGAAGCGTGGGATGGACGCGTCGAGGATCCCCAGGGATGGAGGCTACCAGCTCCTGCTCCTCACCTGGAACTGCAAGATGAGTTTTCCCTTTTGGAAGGGGCTCCTGTAGACGGGCATCCCCTCGTTGGGGACACACTTCAGGTCGCCGGGTCGGATAACGTCACCTGAGACGGGGATTAGCGTCACCTCACCGCACCCGGCAGGTCCTGGCACCCCGCCCCCGGCCCCTCGCAGGGGTATCACAGAGCCCCCCCCACCCCGTCCCAGCCCACCTGGCTGGGAGGAGATGAGCAGGGTCCTGTTGTCCAGGGTGCGGATGACCTGTCGGCAGCCGCACAGGGCGTCTGCCAGGCTGATCTCCCTCTTGACGATGAGGTCGTCACCGCTGCGTCGGAAAACGGGATGTTCCTTCTGATCCAGGACGATGATGATGTCCCCGGGCTCCAGGCCGGGAACCTGGTCCCCTTCCTCGTGGAAGGTGATCTTCTGCCCATCCTTCATACCTGTGGAGGTGCGTGGGGAGAGCTCAGGGCGTGAGGGGCCGTTTTGGGGGTGACCCCACTCCCCCGGCAGCCCTGTCTCACCTTTATCCAGGTGAACGCTGAGGATCTTCTTCTCCCGCACGACCTTGCGGCCGTTGCAGGTGAGGCAGCAGTCCCGAGGCCGGATCCACTCGCCCTGGCCCTGGCACTGGGAACACACTGTCTGGATCTGCTGGATCATGCTGGGCCCCAGCTGGTGGATACGAACCTCCATCCCCGAGCCGTGGCACTTGGGGCATCTCCTCTGGGCTCCCTCCCGCACCCCGCAGCCTGCGGCGAGGGAAGGCAGAGGGGTGAGCAGCAACCCCCCCCCCCCAACCTCACCGGGGCACCCCGCAGCCCGCCCGCTCCGGCGCTCACCTCCGCATTTCCTGCAGATGATGTTCTTCTGCAGGGACAGCTTGCGCGTGGTGCCGTTGTAGAGGTCCTCCAGCGACACCGAGAGCTGGTGCACCACCGTCTTCCCTGGAGGGATGGAAAGGAGAGCCTGGACCGGCGCCCGGCCGCACGCCGCCCCCCCTGAACCGCGACCAGGCGGCCGCCGGGGCTCGGCGTCACCGGTTCTCCGCGGGGAGCGGTGGCTGACAGCTCCCCTCCAAAGCCAATCTTGCTTTATCCTCAGAGACGGCAGCAGGAACAGAAGCAGCTTTAAGCCGGGCTTGGCGTGAGGGCTCAGAAGAGCCTCTAGCAGGGATCTCCTCGCGTCTCCAAGCCTGGAACCTGCCAGCTGCCCCGGGGCAGCCCCAGGTCCCCAGCGTGGGTCGGGCACAGCTCCTACCCCAGGGCCCTCTGCCACCCGGCCACCCTCCAACTGCTTAATCACCTCAACCCGGCTGGAGAAGCTCTACCTGGACTAGCCGAGACGCTCCCCTCGGCCTCTTAAATTGCCCTGCTATTAAATCGTGTCACTTCAGCAAGAAACGCCGTGGCGAGTCACCCTCTCCCCGTGACCCAGGCCGAAAGCATCCGTACAGTCACCGGAGCAGCCCTGCACGCCCTGCGTCTCGCTGCAGCCTCCCCCGGGGCTCACGGGGAGCCAAGGGCAGCGCTGGGCTGACTCAGCCCCAGCCCTGGGGACAGCGGGGGAAAGCTGGGACAGGGACAGGGAAGGGCCCTTTGAAGAGGGGCAGATGGAGAAAGTAATGAGGATGACGAGGTACCGCGTCGGGCTGTGCGCTGCGGGGAGGGAGGTGGCCCACGGGCCACCAACTAGATCCTGGCACCCCCCCCGAGCCAGCACTGCGCCGCGCCTGGGTGTCAGGGCAGTCAGACCCGGGGTCCCCAGTGGGTCCTTTGTCCCCCGGTACCTCGCCTGTCCGCCCGGCCACGCATCCGCACTCCTCCACCGAAGAAGAGGTCGAAGATGTCCATGGGGGAGCCGAATCCGCCGCTCCCTCCTCGGTTCCCCAGGCCGCCCTCCTTCATGGCCCGCTCCCCGCCGCGGTCGTAGAGCGCCCGTTTGTGGGCGTCCGACAGCACCTCGTAGGCTTGGGAGATCTGCTTGAACTGGGGAAGGCCGGGGGGGGGGTGTGGGGTGTGGGGAAAGGGGGTGAGATGAGAAGGAAGCGAGCTGGGTGGGGGTCAGGGGGGGGCTGCACCTACCCGCTCGCCCTCGCTGGGGTTCTTGTCGGGGTGGTAGCGCAGCGCCAGGCGCCGGTACGCCCGCTTGATCTCGTCCAGGCTGGCTCCCGGCCGCACGCCCAGCAGGTCGTAGTATCCCGTCTCCTTCACCATCTTCCTCGCTGCCGACGCGCTGCGAGAGGAGAGAGCCGTGAGGCCCAGCCCGGGACCCCTCCCCAGCCCATGACACCCATCCCAGGACGTCCCCCCCCCAGCCCCCCTCCACCCGTGGGACTCACCAAAAGCTTTTATCCCTGTTCTCCTCCCCGCGCCCGGCTCGCACAGCCCTGCCTCAGTTTCCCCACAGCAGCAGCAACCACCCGTGGGGAGGTCCCACGGCCCGGCCGCTCTCCCCCCCGCACTGGGCAATGTGCCGGGAGGCGATAAACCCCACGTGGGGCGTGGACGTGTTTATCTTGCGACACGGGGAAAGGGGGGGAACGCCGGGAAGCGCCCGTCCTCCTGCACCCTGCGTGCTCCGGGTTCTCCCGTGGCAGGGGGGGGCACTGGGATGGGCCCCCCGCCCCCCCACCGCGGCTGGCAGCCCCCCCGGGGCCGGGTGTGGATCCGTCCCGCGGGGACCCGCCACGGGCCGCTCCCCAGGGCCAAACCGGGGATTTGGGGGTTCGGGGGGGGGGTGATGCTGGGCCAGAGGGGGGGTGGGGTGTGTGTGTGTGTGCGGGGGGGGGGGCTGTTGGGGTGTCCACGGGCGCTGGGACATCCCGGTCCCCAAGACGACCCAGCGCGGACTGGGCAACAGCAACCCACCCCGCCCCAGGCACCCCAAACCCTGTCCCCGTGGGGCAAGGCCCCGCCGTGGCGGAGGGGGCACCCCAAAACACGGTGTACCCCCACACACCGGGGGGGGGGGGCCTGGGCCGTGTCAGTGCAGGCGGGGCCCGGATCCCCGTTGCTGACAGGCCCCGGAACCGGGTGCGATCCCGCTCCCCCGGGGTCCCCCTCCTCCCCGCCGCCGAGGAGGGGCAGGGAGCGGGGTGTCGGTGTCGGTCCCGGGGGGGGGTCCGGGGGATCCGTGACCGGGGCCGCCCCCACTCACCGCCGCCGCCGCCGCTCCGCTCCCCGTCTCCGAACTCTCTGGAAGCCGGGGACACGCCCCCCGTGCTCCCCATTGGCTGGAAACTTCCCCTCGGGCACCGCCCCCTCCACCCTTCGCCCCGCGCCCATTGGCAGCGACGGCCTCACCAGCCCGCCCACCTCCCCGCCCCCTCCGCCCCGTCTCGATTCTCATTGGTTTCAAGCTCTTCCGGGGCGGGTCGGGAGGAGGAGCGTCTCGCCGGTTTTGGATTGGCTGTGATCCGCGGTCGGCTCCGCCCCCCCTCCCTGGCTGATACCTCCCTCTCTCATTGGTTTGAACCGAGCGGCCAATCAGAGGAAAGAGTGGGAATTCCGAACGCCGCGGCCGTCCTGCAGGGGGCGGTATGGTGCGCGGCGGGCCCGATCCCGCCGGCGGCCGGGGGGGTCCCGGGGCGGGGCGGGGCGGGGGGGGTTGGGGGGGCTCCTGCCCGGTGCCCTGCAACGGGGGAGACTTTCGGGGGTGTGCCGGGCCTGCCTGGCAGTGCCCCCAGCCGGGACCCTTCTGGAGAGGTGTCCCCCCTCCTCAAATTGGCTTTTTTTTTTTTTTTTTTTTTTTTTTTTTTGAGGGGGGGTGTGTGTTACTAATAGCAGGGAGGGGTTTTGGGGTGGGGGGGGGCATGTTCCCGTGTTTGGGGGCTGCCAGGAGCAGTAACCGTGATGTGGGGTGGGGTGTTGCCCTCCTGGGCTTGGCTGATTTTGGCGGGGGGGGGGGGGGTTTGAGGCGGGGGGGGGCACTGCTGATTGTCCCCCCCCCAGGCCAGCAGCGATGTCCTCCCCCAGCGGCCGGGGGCCCAACCCTGCCCTGGGGAGCTGGAGTGGCCCCCAGAGTCCACCCAGCGGTGTTTGTGGAGGTGGGGGGGGGGGCATGATCAAAAAGGAGGGGTGGTGCTGCCAGGGTGGTGGCGAGGTTTGGGATGCTCAGGGTGCCCCCCCCTCCATGGCCACCCCCTCCACCAACTCCGCCGCCGCCCTCCAAACTCACTGGCCATGTTTGGGCAAGCAGCCGAGCTCGTGTGGGGGTGCCCCGGCCCCCCAGCATCTCGCAGGGGGGGGTGGCAAAGCACCCCAGGCAATGCTTGCGGTGGGGGGGTGGGGGGGGATCCCACAAGCCTGGAGGTGATAAATCTCCCCACCCCTGAAACCCAACCCTGCCGGGCAGTTGTCACCCCACTGGGGTTTCAGAGACACCCCCCCCCCCCCATCCCAGCTGCCGGGGGGGGGGGGTGCGGAATTTGCTCCGAATTCCTGGGAGGAGCTGCCGCCATCGGCTGCTCGACGGGCTGGGAGCAGGGTCTGACACGGAGTCCCCAAACTGGGCAGGCTGTCCCCCAAACTGGGGGTGCGGTCTCCAAACTGAGGGTGCAGCCTTCCAAACTGGGAAAGGGGGGGGGTGTGGGGGGGTGGTCCCCAAACTGGGCAGGCTGTCCCTCTCGAAATGGACGTGTGGTCTCCAAACTGGGAAGGGGGGTCCCCAAACTTGGGGGGGGGGGGGGGGGGTCCCAGGCCAGGCAGAGCTGGAGCCGAGGGACCTTCCTGGCCCCTTCCCGGGGCCGGATCCGGCATCAGCTGCCGGCGGTGACTCGGGACTGGCCACGGTCACATCCTGTCCCCAACAGCGGGTCCTTTGCCTGGCACCGTGCCCCAAAACTCCAGTGGGCTCCAGCTCTGGATCCACGGGGGCTCAGCCCTGTTTCTCCGTCCCAGGTTTGGGGGTTGGATCCGATCCCATCAACCCCTGAAGCGGGGGGGGGGGACACACACACACACACACGACACCCCTGTTTGTCCCAGTGCCACCTGTGTGCTGGGGACCGGCTGTGCCGTGAGGAAGGAGCTGCTTTGTCGGCGTTTCCTCCGGCTGCCGTGTCCGGGGGGTGAGTCACCTCCTGTGCCCGCTGTTCCCCATCCCAGATGCCCCCCCCCAGCTCACGTGGGGTGGGTGCAGCCAGGTACCCAAGAGTAATGGGGTGCCCTGAGGGGCGTGGGGGGGGGGGGGGGAGCTTCTCCACTCCCCATCATTGGCTCAGCCCCTTTCTGCTTGTGGCTGGATGAGAAGGGAAACTGAGGCACGGTGCTGGCACTCACGTGTCGGGAGCCGGCCGGGCTGCTTCCCACGCCCCAGCCATTTTCCTGTACCGCTCCCACCCCACGCCCCCCCCCCCCACACACACACTTAATGACGGGTGGGTGACTGAGGGCTGCGTGCCGCATCCTGCACCGTGTTTACAGGTGCTGGGGCTGTTTGCGGCGCTTCTGGGGCTGGGGGGCGGGGGGGGGGGAAGAGGGTCTTGGGGTGCTGCTTGGTGGGTGGGTGGGTGCCATGTTCCCTGTCTTCCCCCAACCGTTTTGGTGCAAAGGAATATTTTGGGGAGGTGACGGTGTGGGGAGGGGGATCAGGCTGTGAGTGTGGGATTCGGGGAGGGAGGGGGTTGATATCCCAGGAATAGGGGTGCATCCCCCCAGTGACCCCGTCTTCCTCCCTGATGCTGACAGACGGCCCCAGGCGCGCATTCCCGACGGGGCCCCAGCCCTGGGGCTTGGCTCCAGGCATCCTTCCCCCCCCCCCCCCCCAGCCCCCCTCCCCCCCTCCCCCCCTCCCCGATTTGGCAGCAGCTGTCACGGTGCTGCAAGGGGGGGTCACGACCCGGCAGCTGGGTGAGCCCCCGAAACTGGGGACAGAGCTTATTATAGCTGCTGAGAGCTATTCCCGGGGCGGGGGGTCTGACCTGGGGTGAAGGGCGGGTGAGGGGGTGGCCAAGTGACCCCCTCCCACCTCCCCGGCACATCGGGAAGGGACGGTGCTGGCTGGGGGTGGCAATGCCTCGCTCGGGGGGGGGGCACCCATCGCCCACATCCCCACCCTGCTCTCGCGTGGGGGACCAGCCCGCCTCTTCCGCGGGGGGGGGTGTTTTTGGATCCCCATCAATTGTCCCCACCATGCATCCCCCTCGGGGACGGCACCGTGGCCCCGGCGTGGCTCCTGCTCGCCCGCATTTAGCATCCCCAAGGGCTTATTTTGGGGAGGGGGAGCAGGGGCTGCCCCTGCCCCTCTGGCTGTATTTTTAGTCCTTTCCTTATAAGGTTCCCATGATTTTTGGGAGCTGCGAGCGGAATGAAGTCATCGCTGAGGTCATCCTGCTTCGTCCCCCCTCCCCGCCCCGGCGCGGGCTCACCCCACAGGGAGTTTTTGTGTGGGCTCCATTGAAATCCCCCTCTCGCCCAGCCTTAAAGGAAACAAAACCCTTCCCTGGCTGGCAGGGGGCCAGGCTGCGGGGGGCTCTGGGGGGCTCAAAGCACCAGCCCGGCCAGCCCCACGCCGCTCCCCCCATCACTGCGGCCCCCCCGAAGCCCCCCCGCACCCCTCCCGCCTTTTTGCAACGCGCGTGTGCACCAGCACCGTGCTTCCTCCGTCTGGGTGTGCGAGCAGTTTTTGGGTGCGGGGTTGGCACCTCCACTTCTCTTTCCTGTCCCTGAAAGCAGCCTGGTCCCCAAAATCAGACTGTGGGTGCTCAGCTGGGGGGGTGTGGTGTGTGTGGGTGGAACCGAGTGGGTGCTGCCTGTGGGGCCCCGCAGCCTCTGGTTGGGTCCGGTGGCTTTTGTCTGGGGTGGGGGTGGGTGCCTGGTGGGTGTCTGAGCTGCAGCCCCATGCCGGGGTCAGGCATAGGGGGGGGTCCAGGCATGTTTGGTCCCACTGGGGACACGCTCGGTCCCTTCCATGAGCACTCGCTCGTGCATTTCTTGCGCCTGCAGCCGAGCATCGCTGGGGTTTTGCTCTCCAGGCTGCAGCCCCCGGGGTTTGCAAAGCACCCAGCAGCCGTCCCCCACCCTGCCGGGTGACCCCCAGCCCTCAGCAGCCTCGTCCCATCCTCCTCCTCCTCCTCAGGGCGAGGAAGGGGCTCGCCCTCCCCCCCCCCCGCCCCCGCCATCTGTCCCCCCTCATCGCTTTGTCAGCACTGGCTGGAATGTGGATTAATTTCGGGAGGAATGTCACCCCCTGCCTTGCGAAGCTCCTCGCCCGGCCGCCATCTCCTCCCCAGCATCCCGCCACTGTCCCTCCTCGCCCGGGCAGCCCCACTTTTGGGGCACCGCTCGAGGGGACACTGGGGGGCTGGGGGGGGCATTACTGGAGCTGCCATCGGCTGCCGACGGGCTGATGCTGCCCAGGCCTCGCTGGAGGGGTGCGTTCAGGCCAAAGGCTGATTGAACGCAGGCTCGGCGCCTGATTAAACTAATCGGAGGGGTTATTTTTTTTTTTTATTACGGTGTTTGGATCCGTTGGAGTTTAGCCTTAAAAGGAAACCGTCGCCTTCGGGCAGGGGAGGGGGCTGGGGGCTTCGCAGAGAGGAAGGCAGATAAATGTCGGGGCCTTATCGGTCCCTGGCTCCGAGCATCCCCGGGCGCTGGCACGGGGACGGCCGGGCTAAATCCGGCGCGTGGGCAAGCGGTGGGGCCAGCCAGGCGGGCAGCCCATCCCTCAGCACCCGAGGAGCGATGCTGAGCGCACCCGTGGGTGCGAGGCTGTCGGTCCCCAGGGATGCCGTGGCCGCCCGGGTCCCCTCATCCCCTTGCCCGGGGTGACTCAGCCCTTTGCCCGGCATAAAGAAGCCCATTCTCTGGCCGGAGGCTGATTTATGCGGCTCTTCCCGCGCCGTCCCCACGCCCGGTCACACAACGGGGTGATTGAGCCCCCCTCAGCTTCTTGCAGACCCCCCCTGGAAGCCCAGCACCCTGTGGAAGAAGGGGTAAAGCCACGTCTGCCGGGGTGACGGGATCCCCGCCTCAATACTCGGGGTACCCGACAGCTCCCGACGCTGGGCAGCCCGCCCGAGCCGGGCAGGAGCAGCGGCTGGTTTTGCTGGCTCATCGCTAAAGGCGCTGGCACGGGGATGGGGGGGGCTGGCATCCTGTCCTGCTCCCTCTGGCCAGCCAAGGAGGAGGCCGAGCACTTGCCCGGCCAGCAGCGAGTCCTGAGTGGCATCTGCGGGGCTGTGGGGATGGGGGAGCGTCGCCCCAGGGGGGTGCATTGTCCTGGGGATGGGGCAGCATCGCCCCAGGGATGGGGGGAGCATCATTCTAAGAGGGGTACCTCAACCTGGGGATGGGGGAGCATCGCCCCAAGGGGGGGTGCATCACCTCAGGGATGGGGGAGCATCATTTCAGGGGGTCACCTCAAAGGGCAGCATCGCCCCAGGGATGGGGGGAGCATCATTCCAAGAGGGGTACCTCAACCTGGGGATGGGGGAGCATCTCCCCAAGGGGGGTGCATCACACCAGGGATGGGGCCAGCATCGCCCTGGGGTCCCTGTCTCCAACCTGTGCTGACAGACAGCCCCAGCCATGCTTTCCTGGCAAAAAGCAGTCTGCAAGTGCATCCCCCCCAAAACCGGGTCCCCTTCTGCCTCCCCTAGTCCTGCCCTGGGGCTGCTGCCCCATCCCATCCCATCCCCCCCGAGCCCCCCATCCGTGGGAATGAGGAGAGTCGGGCTGCAGCGGATCCGTGTGGGAGGAGGAGGCTTTATTAAATTAACGTCAAGGCAGAGAATACATCCGGCGTGGGTCAGCCCCGCGAGCGTCGGCGGGTCGGGGCTGGGGACCCCGGGGTGCCCTTGCCCCGAGGTGCTGGGTCCCGGGGTACAGCGTGTGGGGGTCCCCAGCCTCCAGCTGGGCTTCCTGGGGCAGATGCACTGGGGGGGCGAGGGGGGGGAGATCACAGGGAAGGGGGGAAACATGGGGTTTAAATTAAATATAGCCACGGCAACCCACCCAGAGGGGGCACAAAATGAGGCTGGGGTCCCGGAGCAAGCATGCGAAAACTGGGGGGCCAGGGCGGGGAATGGAGCTTGGTGGTTCTTCACTCTGAAAAGGGGTGCAAAAAATCCACACAAACATGTTAAAAATCATAAGGAGATGGAGAAGTGTTAGGTGGGCGGGTGGGTGAAGTGAGGGTGCTGGGTTTTGGCAGGGAGGGGGCTACTGGAGGGGTCCCCCGCCGCCGCCGTCACTCGTCCCCCAAGGACCAGGGTTCTTGCTCGGCTCTCAGCCGGCACGCCGGCGGCTGGTCGGGCGCGAGGCACAAGACATCGTCCCCCAAAGCGGAGGGGACGGGGACGGTGTCGGCTCCGCCGTGCTTGCCACACGGGGTGGCATCGGCCAGCTTGGCGGCGGTGGCATCGCCGGGAGCGGGGGGCTGCAGGGGCATCACCGCGCCGGGGGCCGAAGGCTCCGCGGGGAACTCCTGCGCCGGTGGCACGCCGGCGATGCCGTTCAGCACCTCCTCGGTGAATTCGGCCAGGTCCTCCAGGCTGGCCTCGCGGTGCAGCCCGTTCTCGGCCCGAAGCAGACCCTCCGTCCCCGGTGCCGCATCCGCTGGTGCCTCCTGCACCGTCGGCTCCTCCTCGCTGGACGAGGCAGGTGAGGAGTCTTCCTCAGCGTCCTGGGGGAGCTCGGTCCCGCGGGAATCCCGCTGCCCACCCTCGGCCGCCCTCACCCCCATCACCAGCTCCTGGTTGAACTCCAGGGCTTGCTCGACTATTTCCAAAATATCCGAGTCCTTCATGACGTCCACCGGCACCTTTGCAGAGAGATCAGCAGCGCCTGGGCTTTCTTCAATCATCTCTGGGAAACCTCCCTGCTCCGGCGCAGAGCCCGGCTGAGGTGGGTCGGCCTCGGGGGGCTCCTCGTCCCCAGCCGGGAGAGGACTGTCACCATCTGGTGCTTCCTCCTCCACAAATGGCTGCTCATCTGATGTCTGCTCCGCTTGGTCGGGCAGCGGAGAAAACCGGCATCACCCTGGCCTGCAGCTCTGCCGGCGGGATGGGCTCGGCCGTGTCGTGGTGAGCCGTACCGGGCTCCTCCTCCTCCTCCTCCTCCTCCTCCTCCTGCCCCACCAGCCCCAGGTTGCAGCCTGGGAGCGTTTCGGCTGTGCCAGCATCTCTCTCCGGCTCCACCGTGCCATCGAGCTCCTCGATCGATTCGGCAGCCAAGTCCTCTGAGCACCCTGGTCCCTTGTGTGCGCCGGAGCCTGCGGCACCCCGGGCTGGTTCATCCTCACCTCCGGCTAACAGCCCCACGGCCCTGGGGGAGCCGGGGTCTGCCTCGGGTTCAGCCATACCTTCCTCCAGCTCAGCAGTAAAACCCCCATCATCGTCCTCATCCTCATCCTTTGGCATCTCAGGTTCTTCTGGGGGTATCTTCATGTCTTCATCTGCTTCACCAACAAACGCCTCAAAGTGCCCTTCGTCCTCTGGCACTGGAGATGCTTCTCCAGGAGCTTCCAGATCATCTTTGCTGGCTTCGATTGCTTCAACTTTAATTTCTTCAAAGTCCTCAGAGATCTCAGCTTCCTCCGAGCTGGACACCTCTTGGTTGGGAGCAGAGACCATGAAATAACCTTCCTCCTCCTCAGCACCCTCTGCCACAGGGGCTACCTCCATCCCTGCCTCCTCATCATGGCTCTCTGGCACGGTGGGAGTTGGTGGCTTGTCCTTCCCTTCCAGCCATCCTTCATCCTCCGGAGCTATTTTGGATGCAGGGGCTGTCTCTGTGGTCTCCTCAGTCTCCGGAGCGTTTTGGTTGGGTTTCACCTCAGCCAGCATCTCCCCTTCGTAGAGGTGCAAGGGCGTGCTGTCGGGCAGCGTGTCCTCCAGCTCCACCCTCCTGCCCACCCCCGGTACCAGCTCCAGCTCTCCTGGTCTCCCGGCATCCTCCTCCGCCGCCTCGCCGCTCTCCGTGCCGTCACCGGGTACCTGCTGAAGTGCCGCGGGGCTGGTGCTGCTGCTCTCCGGCTGTCCCGGCTCTGAGCCGAGCTCATCATCAGCATCCTCATCCTGCACCTCCCCTGGCTCCTCCGGAGCCTCAGCTGGCTCCTGGCTGTCCCCTTGCCCGGGGACATCTGCGGGTGCCTGGGCAGGCTGCCCTGTGGTGCCATCCTGCTCGTCCCTTGCCAGCTCCAGGGCCGGCTCAGCCTCCGGCGGTGGCTGCTGCTGGCTCATCCCCTGGCTCTCAGCATCTTCTTCATCATCCTCCTGGGTTTCCTCCAGCTCTGCTGGTGATGTGCCACCTCTCTCCTCGCTTTCCAGCCCTCCTGCGCTTGTTGGGGTGTCATCTGCCCAGGCTGGCTCCTCTGTCCCCAGAGCCCCCTCTGTGTCCTCTGCTGTCACCTCCCAGTCCTCTGGACGGGGCTTTTGGCCGTTGCCATTGTCCCCCTTGCCCCAGGGCTCCTCTCCCAGCTCTGGCTCCAGCTCCTGCTCCAGTACCTGTTCCTCAAAGCCATTTTCCTGCAGGTCCCCAGGCTCCTCCAGGGCTCCGCTCTTGTGTCCCAAGGTTTCAGGTCCTGCAGCCTCTCCTGCCCCGAGGTCTTCTCCTACCAGCACCTCCCCAACAGCCTCTCCCTTTTCTCCCTCACCATCTTTTGCTCTGCCTGGGTCCTCCTCTCCCACGGCATCTTCTTCAGCCCCTGATGAAGCCCCTTCTGTTGGGATGGCCTCATGGATGCTCGAGGGCTCCTGCCCCAGGCACGTCTCCTGCTCCCTTTCCTCCTCTGCAGCCAGATCCATCTCACACATGGGCATTTGCCGCTGCTCAGACTTTTCCTGCTCTCCATCAACAAAGTCCTCTTCCAGGTGACTTTCTGTGGGCAAAACCAGGTGGCTTTCCACGAGGACAGCATGAGCAGCTTCGACTTCCCTTTGCGGGGACTCCCCCTCTCGCACATCCATTCCTTCGCCCTGGAAATCACTGTCCTCCCCGCAGGGGCTGCGGGATCCCCTCTCCTCTTCATCCTCCGAGGGGTGCGATGCCTCTGTGCTTGGGGCCTCGTCCTCCTCTTGCTCTGGCTCTTCCCAGGTGGTCCCCATCTGACCAGGGTCACTCGTGTCCTCTTCCTGGGCCACCACTTCTGGTTCCCTTGAGCTCAGCACACTGGGCATCTCCTCCTCCCACACTCCCAGCTCTTCCTGGCTCGCCGCGGCACTCCGGGAAGCAGCCGTGCCGCAGGGATGTGGTCCTGGCGGGGATGCAGCTCCATCCCGCAGGGCTCTGCTCTCTGCACCCAGCCCCTGGACCACGGCTTCCCCAGCCCTCTCCTCCACTTCGGGGGCTTCCCCATCCCTGGCACCCTCAGAGGGGTCTTGCCCTTCCCCGTCCCCCGCTGCAACATCCCCTCCACAAGCCTCTATGGGGGGAACGGGGCTGGGGGCACGGGTGTCCCGGAGGCCCCACGCGGCGCTGAGCGTGGGCTCTTCTTTGGGCTGAGCATCGTCTTTCATTTCCTTGAGAGCATCCTCCAGCGCCTCGCTGACCAGCTGGGCTGGGTACCGCAGGCTGCGGGCGGGCGCCGTTCCCAGGGGCTCCACGCTGGCATCGTGGGGCTCCGCCGTGGCTCCGGGTGGAGGATGCTCCTTCCCTTGGCTCATCTCACCCCCGGCTCCCCCCGGCCAGGCAGGACCCTCACCCCCTGGGCTCCCTGGCTCCGGTGGCACGTGGCTGGGGGGCTCTGGGGAGAGAGGAGGGGCAGTTTTGCCAGGCTGCGAGGGGCAGATGGGGGCACCCAGCTCCCTGGTCGTGCTGGCAGTCTGCGGTGCCGTGGCATGGAGGACTGAGCTGATTTTCTGGAGCTCTCTGGTGCCAGAGCTCTGGCTTTTGGGTGTCAGGGAGTCGCTTTGGGTTTTGGCTGGCTGTCCCCTCCCCTCTGCCCTGGAGAAGATGGAGGGGCTGGCACGGTGGTCCCAGGGCAGCAGCCGCCTGGCGTCGGTGCTCGCCGGTGCCAGTTTGCTGCCGCTGCTCACCTCCAGCTTGAGATCTGCAAAGAGCGAGGGGGGAGCGCCGTGAGCGCGCTGAAAAGCCACTCATTTGGCTCCCCCGTCCCTCCTCTGCCGCCTGGGTGCCTCTTGCTGTCCCCTCTCCTATTTTTAAACAGAACGTGGGAAATTCCTCCCTCGAGTGCAGCCTGTGCCGATGCTCCTGGAGGATTCGGCATCGCGCAGGGATGATGCTCTGCCCGGCTGCAGCCGCAGTCCAGTCCTGCTGCTGGGGGGAAGCGTGCAGGCAACAGGCTTTCCTTGTTATTTTGGGGGAGGAAAAAAGAAATGCTCCGCTTTTCACAACAGCCCACAGTCCCAACTGGGCACAGGGATCTGCTCCTGCTCTCCCTGTGCCGGGGAGGAATTAAAAAAAGAGGCGAAGAAGCAGATAAGCTGTTATCTGCACCGCGACGGCTGCAAGCCCCATGCCAGGAGACCCCTGGTCGCCGTTTGCACCTTCCTATCACTCTGAGCAACTGCTGCCAGGAAAATGCTTGTGTCTATATTCAGCCTCATCCCCCCAACCCCCCCTCCGGGGTGCCGTGGCGGCAATGCCAGGGCTCTTGCCGGGGCTCCCTTACCTCGCAAACCGTTGGCCAGCTTGTATTCCCCAGCTGGCATTTGCAAGCGGGTGCTCTCTGCTTCCAGCAGCGTCCTGCAAGGAGAGGAGTGGGGTGGGTGCTACAGGGTGGGTGCTACGGGGCGGGGGGGGTGTGTGTGGGGGGGTGTGGGTGTCTGCAACCTGTGCACTCCAGCACACCCCGCTGGGCTACGGCCGCTGTTTTTCAGGTAAACTGAGGCACAAAGGGGCTATGGATGGGTTTGCTGCCCTGTCCCGGCTTGGCGGGGCGACTGGGGGGGCCCAGAGCAGCCCCCCTTGCTCCTGTCTCCCCTCCCATCCCCCTCGCCCCCAGGATTAGTGTCCATGACGGGTGACATCATGCTCTGCCGGGGAGGCCCCTCGGCTCAGCCGGGGACAGCCCCTATTCTCATGCTAATTGTCCCCCCCAGTCCCCTGGCAGCCTGCCTTTGTCTGGGGCCATCTGGAAGGGCTGGAAGAGGGGCACTACTGGGGCTACCCCTATGTGAGACCCCCCCCTCCGCCTCTCTTGTACCCGAGACCCCTCCTGTGCCCACAGCGGTGCAGGGTTGGGGTTCAGGGAGTGTCGGGGAAGCGGCGGCTTCGTCCCAGCCCTGTCCCCTGCATCGGGGACCTCACCTGTAGGTCGCCACTTCCAGGCTGAGGGACATCTTGAGGTGCATGAGCTGCTGCCTGTCCTCCAGCACCTGGGCGATCTGCACCCGCAGGCTCTGCTTCTCCTGCTCCAGGGCCTCCATCGCCAGCTGCGGGCAGCACGAAGGGGGGGTCAGGGAGCCCTGAGCCCTGCCTGAGCCCTGCCATAACTGGGAGCACACAGGTGGCTCTCGCTTCCCCCCCACACCCCCCCACACCCCGGGGATGCTGCGAGAAGAGAGGTCCTGGACACTCAGTTTTACTGGAGGGGGGTGGGGGGGCTGAGGATGCGGACAGAGGGGTGAGAAGGGGATTGGAGCTGAAAAGCGAGGAGGAGGAGGGAGAAAAGGCCGAGGAGGTGTTCAGGACTGTGGGATGCCGGTGTGGGAAAGAAGCATCTTTCGGGTGAGCGGTCGAGGCCGCTGCACCCTCTGCTCCGCGGCACCCGTGGCCGGTCCCCAGTCCTGGAACAAAGAAGGACCCTTCCCCGGGCGGTGTCTGCGTGGTCCCCAGCATTTCCAGCCTCCTCCCCCCGCCCCCGCCGCCTCCCTCCGCTGAATTACTTTTGCAGATGTTGGGTTGCAGCTGCAGCAGAGTCGGTCGGAGTTTATCCACCCTGCAACAGCCCCCCCATCCCCCCCCCCCCCCGCCCTGCCGCTGCCTGCACCCCCCTGCCTGCACCCCACTGTCTGCACCCCACTGCCCGCACTCCCCTGCCTGCACCCCCCTGCCTGCGCCCAACTCTGGGGGGGCAGCGGGCAGGGGCTGCCCTCCCCTCAGCACACCGGCTCTGGAGCCCAGCGGGACGTGGAGCAGCAGCCCCGGGTAGGGTGCTGGGGGAGGACCCAGTATCTGGGTGCTGCTCCCCTGCAGCGGGGTGGCCCCCGGTGCCTGTTGTGATGGGGACAAGCATGTCCCCAAGCCGCTCTGCTCTTCCTCCTGAGCTTCCTCTCCATCTGCAGCTCATCCAGGGCCACCATCCACCCCTGCCCTGGGGCTTGCTTCCTCCGCCTTGCCTCCCCCTGTCCCTCTCCCCCATCCTTTTGAAGTCCCCTGAGCACCCCCCCAGCCACCCACAGCACCCCGATCTCCCCTTCCCCAGGGCACTAGCACCTCCCCACCGCCTTCACCCACCTGGAACTTCTCTGCCTCCCCGCGCTGCTCCTGCCACTGCCGAGCCAGGTTCTCCTCCAGCATCTCCTTCCGTGCTTTGAGCCCCGCCAGGTCCTTCTCCAGGTGCTGCAGCTGCAGCTGGCTCTGCTGGTTGTCCTCCACCGCCTTCCAGAGGTTCTCCTTGGCCTGGCAGAGGGAACCCTCCAGCTGCGACACCTCTGTCTTGTAGGTCTCCACTGCCCCTTTCCAGATCTCCGAGAGCCTCTTGGAGTAGTCCTCCACCTCCACCGGCTGGAAAGCCACCGGCGCGCAGCGGAAGCTCTCCAGGCTCTGCGAGAAGCTGGCGATCTCCTGGTCCAGCCCTGCTTTTTCCTCCTCGTGCACCTCCAGCAAGGCTTCCACCTCCTTCTCCAGCTGCACGGCTCTCTCCTTCAGCCAGATCTGCGCTCTCCTCTCCTCCTCCAGCTCCTTCCTGCTCAAGGACAGCAGCTTCTTGGCTTCTTCTCGGGCTGCTTGCTCCTTCTGGCACCTGCTTTTCACCTGCTGAACCTCCTCGTAGAGGTTGTCCCTGGCCAGCTCGGCCGTGCACTTCTCCCTGAAGGCATGATCCAGCGCATCGCGCAGGGCTCGCAACTCCTCCTCGTACTTTGCCCGCCACGAGTCCCCGGCGGGGCTGCCCTTGGCACTCTGGATTTCGGCTCGCAGCACCTCATTCTCCTCCTCCAGAAACTTCACGCGGGCCAGGTACGCCTCCAGCCGCTTGTTGAGGTCCCACATCTGCAGCGACTCCTCGCCCAGGGCTCTCGCCCCTGCGAAACTTTCCGTGCTCAGCATCGGTGCTGCCGGGGGATGCCGGGGCTCTGGCGCCGGCGCTGCCGGGGGATGTCGGAGAAGGCTGGAAGATGCCGGGGAAGATGCCGGGGCTCTGGAGGAGTGGGAAGGCAGGGAGGGAAGCGAGTGGCTGGGAGCGGAGGGGAGTGCAGCTATTCATACTCCACGCCGGGCGAGTGGGAGGCCCCCGAGACCGGGGTGAGCAGCGGGGCTTAACTCTTCCGCAGCCAGGCCGGCTTCAGCCCACGTGGGCTCGACGCCGGCTGCGGGAGGGCTGAGCCCTGCTCCAGCAAACACCGCCAGGATTTCCCAGCCCTGGGGAAGGGCAAGGTGTTTCTTTGCGCTTTGGGAGAGTGGCTTGAAGGGTTGGAACTCCCTCCCCAGCATGGATCTGCTGGGAAAATCCCCCACCCACCCCCCCCAAGCTTGACTGCCATGGCAGGGTGCTGGGGGGCTGCCGTGGGGCTCAGTGTGGGAGATGTCCAAGGGTGGGTTGGCAGATGCCCAGCCCTGAGGGCTTGGCTGTGGGCAATCCTCTTCGGTGGCTCACTGGTCCCGTGCCACTCCAAAACCCGGGGCCCAGACGAGGCCCGTCGGGGGTGTCACAGTCCCGGGGGGGTGTCGGCTGCACTGGGGTCACCAGTGACCCTTGGTGACTGGGGCAGTTTTGGGCTCAGCACAAGCCACAGCTGAGCCAGTGCCCTGGATTTGGCCATACAGGCATCCCTTGGGGGCGGGAGGAGAGCGGGGGGGGGGGCGGGAGGCACAGGGCATCACCCCAACCGACACCCCCCCCCCCGGGGGTGCTGCATCCAGCTGTGTCCAGCTGCAATCTTCTTCCTCTCCAGATGTGCTCAGCGGGAAGTGCTGAGCCGAGCTGGGAGCCCAACGGGGACTCGCGGCTGCGGCTGGCCGCCGCTTTCGCCGGCAGCCTCCGAAACTTGGCAAGCGCCGCCTCAACATTTGGTTTCGCTCACAGCTTTCACCCGCCGTCACGGTGGGGTTATGAATCGCTTTGCAGGGAGCGTTTGGGGTTTATTATTTTTTATTTTTCTTCCCTCCCCCCCCCCTCCCCCCCCAGCTGATTTATCTGGGGGGGAGGGCAGCAGGCTGGCAAAGGGAGGAAGTTTAAAAATTCAAACTCGGGAGGTTTCTGTGAACAAAAGAGGCAGGAAAACATCATTTGGGGAGAGACTTGTTGCCAGCTTTCCCTCCCGGTCCTCCCTCTCCCAGAGAGACGGTGGTTTTCCCATGGGAGGGTCCCTACTCTGTCCTCATCAGGGCAAGGAGAAAAAGAGTAAATGTCCCCTCCCCAGCTGTCACAAGGGCTGGCTCCAGGCGAGCTCCTCTGGAGAGACAAGCAACAGTCCCCTCTGCTGGCAAAGGCCACCCAGAGCCACCCAGAGCCATCCCTGAGCTCCCTCCAGGAGCTGGTGGGGCCCCCACGTCTCCCCCCCGCCCCATCTGGGAGCAGCAATAACAGGGAGCCCGACCCCCCCTTTGCCTGGCAGCGATCGGGTTTTCCCCCCGGGTGCTGCTGCGTCCCATCCCGGTTCCTGGCTGGTGGGGATGGGGGGGGATGCCCCAGCTTGGGGGTCCCCGAAGACATCGGCTTCCCGGCTCATCTCCGGCCAGACATCCTGTCTGGCTCCCTGGCCCCGGCTCTGGTTTGCCTCTCGCAGCCGGGATTGAAATGCCATTAAGCAGCCCAGGGAGCGCTGAGCTCGGGTAATTCATCTCCAGGTCCCCGGAGCTCCAGGCAAGCAGGGCGATGGAGCTTTTTCATGCGCCTTCTTCCTCCTCCTCCTCCTCCTCCTCCTTGTTTCCATCACACAGCTCTGGAGCTGGCGGTCCGCCCTCCCCTCTGCCTGGCTGCTTGGCTTTTCCACCAGCTCCCAGTTTCCTCCTCCCATGGGGTGGCTGGGTGCCCGAGGGCGGCTGGTCCCCGATATTGGTGCCTGCCGCAAGGCGGCCCTCGGTGCCCGCGGCTACGCCGGGAAGTGCCAAGGAGGGAGCGTTTCCTTCCTCCCTGCCCTCACTCCCCTCTTCCTCCCCCATGCCTTTGCTTTGGCTTTCCCCACCGTGCCCGGTCCCCTGTCCCACAGCCAGCACTGGGGCTCAGTGGGACAGCCCAAATCCTGCACCCTTGGGATCCCCAGATGTGTTGAGGGGTCTCTGCGCTTCCCTATTTGGGGGAGGCTGGGGACAGAGCTGGGGGGACACCCCGGAGTGGGGATGCCTGTGTATCCCTTCCTTCTGCAGGGTGCTCGGGGTTGGGAGTCACTTGGGATAGGGACATCTGCATCCCTGGGGGATGCTCGAGGTCAGGATCCACCTGGGGTGGGGACATCCGTGTCCCTGGGGGGATGCTCTCCAGGTCAGGATCCCCCCAGGGTGGGGACATCCATGTCCCTGGTGTGGTGCTTGGGGTCAGAAAGCCCTTGGATGGGGACATCTATGTCCCTGGGGGATGCTTGGGGTCAGGATCCCCTGGGATGGGGATGTTTGTGACCCCCCTGTCCCCACGGGGTGCTGAGGGGCAGCTGCTGGGCAGCAGCAGAGGTTTGTGGAGGCAGCAGGTTTGGGGGTGCCGCAGCCCCTCAGCCGTGTCACCCCTGGGTGAGGGTCCGGGGGGTGCTGGTGACCTTGGCACGGGGTGCTTGGCAGGCAATGCTATGTGACTTTGAGCAGGGCTGGAGGGGGGGGGAGGATGAGGAGGAGGAGGAAGCACAGCTGGGCATCAGGGCCCTTCCAGCCTGGACACAGCTGGGGGCTGCGGTTGTTGTTGGGGGTCCCCATGGGGCTGGACCCCTTCCCTCGGCTGCTGAGGCTGGTCCTGGGGCAAGTGGGGAGAAGTTCTGAGAGGCTGCAGGCAGGGATGGGGATCCTCTGATGTCTAATAAGGGTTGTGCCCTGCTGCCTCCTTGCTCCTCTCCCTCCTCCACTGCCTCTTCCCGGAACTGGATGTCCCAAGGGCTTTGTCCCACCGATGTCACCAGCCAGAAAGGACTAGGAGCTGCCCTGGGAAGGGGCTGGCGGAGCGGCAGCCCTGGAAGATTTGCTCTGAGCCGGCAAGGAAACCCCAGCCAGGCTGGGAACATTTGTTCCCAATTAGGATGGGGCACGCTCCTTGCTGAGCCGGCACTCTGCGTTTCCCCCAGCCCTGAGCTTTTTGCCGCAAAAGTGCCGGGTGCAGGATGTGACCTCACAGGTCGGGTATGGGGGGGGTGGGGGGGGGGTGGGATATGATGTGTGTGTGCAGAGTTTGGGGCAGCCCATGGGTTTCACCCCTGCCCGTCCCAGGGTCCGTCCTGATGCCTGTCCCAGCGTCCGTCCCGGCCCCCACCGCGATGCGGCTGCCTCGCGGGCAGAGCGTTGCGGCGTGCCTCACCCGCCGGACTGCACCGCTAACGAGACCGTCTCCGCCACCCGTAATTATTTCCCAGGGTGACGAATGATTAATTCTGCTGAGGAGCTGCGGCTTTCTGCAAACTCACCCCAGCAATTATCTGGCAGGCTCCGTGCTGGCCCCCCCCCCCCCCCCCCCCCCCCCGGGAAGAGGATGCTCCACGCCAGAGAACGTTTGAGTGAGATCTGGTTATAAAAAGCCCCGACGGTGGCTCGTGGGGGCTGCCTTTCTCCCGAGGGGCTTGGCTCTGCAAAGAAGGGGCCCTGGCTTCACCCCAGCCCCCCCCCCCCAGGTCCCGACATGTCCCCCCCGGAGCAATCTGCAAGCCATCAAACCTAAAGATGCATTAATTATCCTGGGTCCGTCGTGAGATGGATGCAGGTGGGTAAACTGAGGCACGGCATGTGCTGTCCACGGGACCGGGCTCGGCTGTGAGTGCTGTGCTGGGAGGTCGGGTCTGGCTGCTCCCACCACCTATTTGGGGCTGGGGGAGCCTCTGGGTCCCTCCAGCCCCCCCCCAGACGCTGCCTCTACCCGCATGGGGACCCGTTGTGGCCTCTCCAGCAAAGGGGGTTTTGCATGACAAAGCCTCCGCTGGCTACCAGGACCCCTGCCCACGGCCCCCTCCCTGTCCAGCTGAAGCTGCCAAATACTGGAAACAACCATCCAAAGGGCATTCCCGTGGGGTGGGGGGCTGTGGCAGGGGGGGGTCCCCCTTCTCTGACCGGGTCTGGGGGAGCCAGCACCGGCTGCTCCTCCACTTCTGCTGCATTGGGTTAAATAACGTGCCCGGGTTGAGCATCCTCCTCTCCCCACACTCAGCATCTCGTGCTGGGTTTGCCAGCTGCCAGGAGGGAGGGAAGGGGAGGGACGAAGTGCCTGCCAACACGGTAATAATTTTTTTTTTTTTTTTCCTTAATTAGGGGAAGGAATAAATATAAAAGGAGGAGGGAAAGGGGAAGGAAAAAAAAAAAAAAAAAAAAAAAAGAAAAGAGACGAGGACACGGACACACACAGAAGACTCCTCTTTTCTCGGTGCCTGCACTTATGCCTGCTGGAGCTCGTTCCCAGCCGTCCTGCCAACCTGCTGCCGCCCACTGCCTGCGCTGCCCCGGAGAAGCCGCAGCTCAGCCCCGCACCGGGGCCCTGGGCACGGGGAGGCCCCCCCAGCGCTGCCGTTCCCCCCGCCACCGAGAAGGGCCCCCGCGGGGCTGCCGCCGCGCAGCGAGCAAGGTGGGATGCGGGGAAAGCGTTGGGCTCGGCCGACGGGCAGCCACGGGGCGCTGCGTGGTCCGGCTGCCGTACTGCGCTATTAATTTCAATATCTCGTTTCACCTCCGCGCCGGCGGAAAGTAAGAGGAGAGCTGATCCAGCGTGGGGATGCCGAGAGCTTTCCCGGTGTTTTTTTCCCCCGTGGGATGCAGGCACGGGGGGGCACAGGGCATCCTCTTGCCCTGCAGTGGAGGATGCTCGAAGCTGGCGGTCCCCACGGTTGTGCTTTGGGGAGGTTTGTCCTTGTCACTGACCCCCCCCGGGAGGACAGCATCGCTCTGCAAGTTCTTTTTTTTTTTTTTTTTAATGGATCAGCTTGTACCGATGCTGGCTCTGCAGCGCTGGAGTCAGAGTAGGGGGCTGAAGTGTGTGTGGGGGGGAGTTCTTGGAAAAAATACTTCGGTGCTGCCCGGCCAGCAGTTGGGCTTGAAGATGTTGGGGATAAGGGGGATTTCTGGGGTTGTTCCAGCAGCTGCTCCCATGGGATTTTCATTTGGGAGAGCTGCCAGAGGGGCCGGGGGTCCAGTGTGTGTGTCCTGTCATGAGGGGAGCCCTCCCCATCCACCCTGCAGAGACTCCGGACAGGTCCTTGTCCCAGAGACGCTGCAGTCAGGGTAGCAGTGGAAAGGGAAACTGAGGCACGGAGTTGGGCAGGGGGGTTGCACCAGGGGTCCGGCTCCCCCCCTCTCCTGCCCGGCTGCATCACTGGAGCTTTTCAGGGACAAAGCTGCCTCATCCGGAGGGGTTGGGACAGATCCCAGGGTTTGGGGTGGCTGCAAGGTGCCGCTGGATGCCCCCATCCCCCCCCAGCACCGTCCCCTGGCTCTGCTGGTGTCCCAGTACAGGGGACAGAAGGGGCTGGGGGTAAAATGAAACATTTGGTGGGATTTTCACGGCTTTTCCCTACCGAGCAGCCCCAAGCGTGGACCCCAAGTCCCCCATGGGGTGCCCCAGACTGGGGTAGTTTGCTGCAAACCCCTTCCCCTCCCAGAACGTTTTGTCCCTGGGATGAAGGGGCTGCCCTTGAGCATCCCCCCCCTCACTGGGGACCGCTTTTGGCCGAAGCCGCGTCCTCTCCCGTCACACCGACTTCTCCCGTCTCAAACCAACCCAGAACCTGTTGCTCTTCCTTTCAGCTGCCGGAGGGGTGGGAAAAACTCCCTCTGCCCCAGCTCGGAGCCTTTTCCAGCTGCAGGACGTGTGCGTGGCAGTGTGAGGGCGGTCGGGGTGCTTTTAGGGCTGTTTTTCAGGGAACGGGTTTAGACTGGGGAAACTGGGAAAGCGGGTGAGCTTGTGCTGGGAGCGAGGAGCTGCGAGTCCACGGGCGAGTGTGCGGAGGGGCCGGGGAGCTCCAGCTTTGCGGGGTCCCTCCTGAGCAACAGCGCTGAAATCTGGGGCACACCCCCCTCCCCCCCCTGCCTCATCCTCCACCCCACACCTCTCCCATCCCACCTCGTGCCTCAGTTTCCCCACTGGAGCCCCGCAGCCGGGAAAGGCGGGGATGGGTGTGCAAACCTCCACGTGTGCGTGCGACGCGCTCACCCGGGCGTGCGTGTGCCCACGTGTCCCGGGGTCTGTGTGTGTGTGGGGTGTCCTATGGGCTCTGCTTGCACCCCCACCCCACCCCGTGGGACTCCCCAGGGACCCTCCCTGGGCTCCCCCAGCCCCTCTGCTGCGGGGGGGGGGGGGGGTGGAGCAGGCACATCCCTGTGCACCAGCCCTGCAACAAGGAGCCCCTTTCTCCCTGCTGGGATAGTACGGGGGGGTGGGGGGTGAGTTGTTCTAAAGGGGGACCCCCCCCAGCATTCTCCCCACCTGCTTCCGGATTTTTAAGCTTTGCCAGCGGCTTCTGCCAAGAGGCTGCCGGGCGTTTCATGTCCCCTGCGCCCCCCCAGCCCCCCTCCCAGGGGACCTGGCATGTCCCCCCCCAGCACTGCACCGCTCCGGGGGACCCCTCTGAGCATGACTGCACCCCATGCACACCCTGCGGCGGGGGCAGATCCTGGCTGCAGGGCCAGTTTGCAGCGAGGGGGTGTGTGTGTGTGTGTGTGTAGGGGGGGGGACACCCCAATACGGAGGCAGCCACGTGCGTGGCCGGGGACGCGGGTGCGTCGGGCTGACTGGGGTGACAACGGGGGTGTCCGAAGCCCTTTGCTGGGGAGGATGGGGCTGCTGGCTTGTGCCTGGAGCTGGGCCAGACTTTGCCCGTGGCTGCTGACTCATTCTGCAGCTGAGCATCCCTGGAAAGCCACCACGCCGCTGCCTGCCCTCCCCCCGGCTCGCTGCGGGCTGGCAGGGCACCTTGTGAGCCAGGATGAGCAACCGTCACGTGGAGGGGACAAGGGGGCCGTGGAGGAGAAAGCCCCTCTCTGAGGACACGGAGGGATCCAGCCCTTGGCTCTTCCCTTTCCCAGCATCTCCTGCCCTTCCCCTTGGATCGGGTGCTGCAGCCCCGAATCGCCCCGGCCCCGTGTTCAAGGAGCTGCTTCCAAAAGCAGGGCCGAGCTCAGGGGAGAAAGCAAGCTCACTCCCATCCCAAAATAGACTTCAGCTCCATTTTCCACCTGGTTTCCCATGGAAATGGAGGTTAGCCGGCCCCGTTGCGCGTGTGCATGCCCGTGTCTCAGTCTGTCCCAGTGGGTCCTGAGCTCCAACGTCTCGGAGGCGATTGAGCCCCACAGGCTTCTGCCATCCCCCCCTCTCTGAGCTTTTGGGCTGCTTTAGTCCAGCTCTCAGCTTTTCCCTCCCGACGTGTGGGCTGAACAATTTTCCATTTGTGGCAAATTGGAAAAAAATAAAAGCCCCAAAAATCCAACCCCAAACCCCAAACATGATGTCTCTGGTCATCAGGAGACTCCAGGACCTCAGGGCATCGCCCATGGGCAGGGTGAAATTAGGTTTAACCCTCTCTGCATCTCATTCCCAGTGCTCACAGACTGGTCCCAGCCAGGGATGGGCACGGGAGGGGAGCAGACACCCGCTCACCCCAGCTTGCCCGGTTCCTGCAGAGTTTTATCACTTGAATTTCCTCCCCGGGGCTTCACGGCTGTTGCTCACGCCACTGCGGCGCCTTGGGAACGGGAAGAAAAAGGTGCCCGTGACAAAAGCCTTCCTTGCTTGGCCCCCCGGGGGGACGGCAACCAGCCCCCGCACTGGAGCCCAGCCACGGCCGCCGAGCAGGAGGGTTTTGTCCCTCGCTCCAGAGTCGTGGGGCTGAATTCAAATGATCTGGCCGGAGCAGAGAAAGCTCCTGGCTTGGCTCTGGCACCGCTGGCCGGGTCCTGGGCGATCGGGATTTGGCTGCCAGTGCTGAGCTCCTGCTGGGCAGGGGGTGGGTCATGGGCTGCACATGATGGTTGACGGCCACGGTGTGTGGTGCCAGGGGCTGCACATCCATGGTGTGTAATGCCAGGGGCTGTACATACAAGGTTTGTGGTGCCAGGGGCTGTATGTCCATGGTGCGTGGTCCCAGGGGCTGTACGTACATGTTCTGTTGTGCCAGGGGCTGTTTGTCCATGGTTTGTTGTGCCAGAGGCTGTATGTCCATGGTTGTGTTGTGCCAGGGGCTGTACACACATGGTACATGGTGCCAGGGGCTGTACATACGTGATTTGTTGTGCCAGGGGCTGTATGTCCATGGTGTGTGGTGCCAGGGGCTGTACATACCTGATTTGTTGTGCCAGGGCCTGTGTGTCCATGGTTGTGTGGTGCCAGAGGCTGTACACACATGTTGCATGGTGCCAGGGGCTGTACATACAAGGTGTGTGGTGCCAGGGGTTGTGCATCCATTGTGCATGGTGTCAGGGGCTTTATGTCCATGGTTTGTGGTGCCAGGGGCTGTATGTCCATGGTTTGTGGTGCCAAGGGCTGTATGTCCATGGTGTGTGGTGCCAGGGGCTGTACACACATGGTACATGGTGCCAGGGGCTGTACACACATAGTCTGTGTTGTGCATCCATTGTGCATGGTGCCAGGGGCTGTACATACATGGTTTGTGGTGCCAAGGGCTGTATGTCCATGCTGCGTGGTGCTGGGGGCTGTATTCACACCCTCTCCCTGGTGCATTGGTCCCACAGGTAAACTCGGGGAGCACTGTTTGCAGAGGGATGCGGGTGACGAGGACAGCCTCCCGTCAGGCTGGCCCTGGCAGCCAGCGACCTGGCCCAGAAAGCACCGCGGAGGTGCCAAATCCGCTTCTGTGGCTGCCGAAATCAATGCAGCACAAAGAGCTCATAAATTAAAAAACCACTTTGAGTCTCAGGGTCACTGTGCTCCCGTCCCCGGGGAACCGGGCAGTGCATTTTCAGTACGGGGGCGGGTGCTGAGGAGACCCCCCCCCCCCAATCCCCTGAGGAGCCTTCGCAGAGGGGGTGAGGGAGATACGGGGTGGGGAGGATGCGCACCCCTGCACTGCGCAGCATCTCCCCGCACCCCCAGCGTCAGCCTCCTCCCCGGACGGCTGCGAGAGGCCGCGGGCAGCCGGAGCCCCTCCACGACATGCCCGCTGTCCCCAACAGTCCCCTGTGCTGCTCCCCGGGGAGGGCCGGGGGCTGGCGACGGCCGTGCTAGCCACTTGGTTCTCCTTTCAGCACCGGTCCCCAGCCCGCCGGGGAGAGCCCTTTGTGCCAGGCAGCCTTGAGAGAGGCCTGGGACATAATGGCTGCTTTGCTCGGCCCCGGTTTTTCCCAGCCTGCGCGCGGGGAACCTCCGGCGTGAGCTGAATGGCAACGAGGAGAAGCCCTCCTGCTCCTTCCCTCCCCCTCCGCCCCGCGCTTTGTGTGCCCTTGGCTGTGCCCCCCCCCCCTTTCCTTCCTCCCCATTCCTGGCTACTCGCTGACCTCAACCCCCCCCACCCCCCCCACCTCCCACCGCCCCGCAGAGCGCACACGTGCACGAGCGCACGCACACGCATGAGCGTGCACGCTGCGACATGCGTGCAGAAGCACCAGCGCACACGTGCGCGCCTCGCTTGCACGCTCGCCTGCCCAGCCGGGACTCACTGCCTCTTCCCTGCTCAACACCAGCTATTAAAATACCCTCTTCTGAGGTTTTTCAGGGCGGCCCCAGCTCTGGCATCACCTCCCCGCCCGCCGGGGCCAGCGTTTGGGCTCAGACTTTCCGTGCTGTCGGGGCCAGGCTGGGCTCTGCTGTCCCCAGGGGACCCGGCTCCCTGGGAAGGCTGGTGGGGCTGGATGGGACCCAGTGGCACGCAGCCAATGGTTCCAGTTGCTCATGCTATCTCTTCCTCCTGATGACCAGGACATGTTTCCTTCTCTTCCTTCTCCTCTCCATCATCTGAGGGTCCAGGTTACCCCGTGGCCATGCCGGTGTCGGCCTCTCCCTCTGCGCCCCAACACATCACCCCATCCCCGCACACGCGGGCTGGGGACTCTCCCCCACTCCTCCCCCCTCACGTAGGGAGGGGATATTTTTGCTCCTTCTTTGGTTTTTAAACACAGCTGGTGGTTTGTCCTCCCCCCTTGCAGGGCAGAGGATGGCCTCAGCCCTCCGGCTGCTGCTGCTCTGGGTGTTTGCCCCCACGGTGGTCCCGGAGGTGTTTGGCCCCGGAGATGGCACAGGTAACTCAGCATCGTGCCCTGCGCTGGGGGTCTGGGGGGGCCACCCCATGCTGGTCCCGCTCATAGCTCCTCTCTTCTCCCACCCAGAGGACCTCAAGGCTCTGCAGGTCTCCATCCCACGCCACCCAGCCCTCGACGCCGTGCTGGCAGGAGACATCACCATCCCCTGCCTTATCACCTACCTCGGCCCCCAGCCCACCGCCGGCACGACTGGGCGCCGGGCAGTCCTGGGAACCCCCCGGGTCAAGTGGACCTTCATCTCTGAGGGCAAGGAGGTGGAGATCTTGGTAGCCCGAGGGGACAGGGTGAAGGTGAGCGAGGACTATCGCCTCCGCGCCTCCCTGCCCATCTTCCACCAGCGCTACACCAACGCCTCCCTGCTGCTCACCGAGCTGCGGCCCAACGACTCGGGGATCTACCGCTGCGACGTGCAGCACGGCATCGAGGACGGCCACGACATCCTCGATGTCAAAGTCAAAGGTACCTCAAGGTGGGGAGTGGTGGGAACTGGGGCGGGTGGGGAGCTGGGGTTGGGGGGGCAGAGGTCCACCCTGCCCAGGTGCCCTCTCCTGGCTCAGCAAACCCCTCCTGCACTCAGGTGCAGATGCACCCATATGGGAGGGGGCTGCTGCAAAGTTGCACCAGGGTGCAGATGCACCCATATACGTGGGGGCTGGTGCAAAAGTGCACCTGGGCGCAGATGCACGCATATGGGTGGGGGCTGCTGCAAAGTTGCACCCAGGTGCAGAGGCACCTATATACATGGGGGCTGCTGCAAAGTTGCACCCGGGTACAGATGCACCCATATGGGAGGGGGCTGGTGCAAAAGTGCACCCGGGCGCAGATGCACCCATGTGAGCGGGGGCTGCTGCAAAGATGCACCAGGGTGCAGATGCACCCATGAGGGTGGGGGCTGCTGCAAAGGGGCACCCAGGTGCAGATGCACCCGTATAGGAGGGGGCTGCTGCAAAAGCACACCTGGGTGCAGATTCACCCATGCGGGTTGGGGGCTGCTGCAAAGTTGCACCAGGGTGCAGATGCACCCATATACGTGGGGGCTGCCGTGAAGCCCCTTGCTCATGCCCCTGTCCCCCCCCCCCCCGTCCCCCCCCGCCTCTCAGGGGTGGTGTTTCACTACCGGGAGGGCTCCATGCGCTACGCCTACACCTTCGCCGAGGCACGGGACGCTTGCGCCCGGATCGGCGCCCACATCGCCACCCCCGAGCAGCTGTACGCTGCCTACCTCGGCGGCTACGAGCAGTGCGATGCCGGCTGGATCGCCGACCAGACCGTCAGGTGGGCATCGCCGTCCCCCAGAGCATCTCCCCCCCCCCCCGCCTTCCCCCCCTCCACCCCTCCGTGAGTCGCCAGCCCTCCCCTGTGCTCTCCTTGCCCCAGGTACCCCATCCACACGCCCCGCGAGGCCTGTTACGGAGACATGAACGGCTTCCCCGGGGTGAGGAACTACGGGGTGGTGGACCCAGAGGACATGTACGACGTGTACTGCTACGCCGAGGACCTCCCAGGTGCCCGTGGTGCCACCACCCCCGTCCTGCCCTCCCCTGCTTTTCCGGCCGCGCTAACTCGCCCCCGTAACCCCTTGTAAATCCCCCCCAAAAAGCCGCCCCGAACCGCAGGCGCTGGCTCCGAAACCTCTGAGCTCTGCAAAGCTTTGGGCTCGTCGCTGCACGCAAGCGTGGGGGGATGTCTTTGTGCGGTGCTTTCGGTTTGCGGGGCGCGGGGCGTTCTCCCTCCCCGCGGCCGGTGCCCATCGCCGGCCTCAGGGCTGGAGGTTGCCCAGGGATGCCCCAGGTTGGCAGCACGGCGCGGGTGCAAGCGCTGCGTGGTGGTTTCAGGGGTGGGGTGTGTGTTAGGCAAGCACTCCCCGCGCTTTGCATGCACTGGGGTGCTGCGTGTCCTGGCTGGGTGTGCGTGGGGGGTGAGCCGGTCCCTCCTTCGGGCCCCGACGGGGCTCCCCGGCTGCGGCTGCCGCGGGGGTCGGTTGGGGTGATGGCAAGCGGGTGGCAGGGATGGGGTGCGGGTCGCTGGTGGGCGGGGTTGCGACGCGCTGGGTGGGGGGGGAGAGCGGTGCGGTCGTGGGTGGGGGGGGGCTGGCACGCAGCGCGCTTTAGGGCAGCGGTTTCCAGCTTTTCTCAGCACGAAGCCCCACCGCGGCGGCCGCCGGGCTTGCAGGTCCCCTTTAGGAATATCCCGTACGCGGATTGCGCCGTGCAGGGAGCGGATTTGCTGCTCCTCCTCAGTCCCTTTCGTGGATGTGTAAAGTCGCAGCTCCGTTTGCGAGGGCAGGTATCCTGCGTGGCACGAGAGCTCCAGCCGTGCCTGCGCCACGGTTGCTGTGTGCAGGGAGTCCCGAGGCAGGCAGGGCCCCTTCAGCCCCCCCGCACTCCTCCTCGCGAGGCCCACGCCGGAGCTCCCCATCTCCAAACCAGCTCCTGGGGTCGTGCAGAGAGCGGAGGAAACGAGGGGTGTGTGTGTATGTGGAGGGGGAGCTCCCAGAGCCCACCCGCCCCCCGCTCCCTCGGCTCTGACGCCCCGTCTCCTTCCTCTCTTCGCAGGGGAGATCTTTTTGGAGACGACCCCAGAAAAATTCACGCTGGAGGAGGCGGCGGCGCGGTGCCGGGTGCTGGGTGCTGAGCTGGCGAGCACGGGGCAGCTCTACGCGGCGTGGAGCGCGGGGCTGGACGCCTGCAGCCCCGGCTGGCTGGCCGACGGCAGCGTCCGCTACCCCATCGTCACCCCCCGGGAACGCTGCGGCGGGGCCCTCCCGGGCGTCAAAACCATCTTCCTCTTCCGCAACCAGACGGGATTCCCCGATGCCCGGAGCAGATACGATGCGTACTGCTTTCGAGGTAAAGAGGGGCAACCCCCCCCCCCCCCCCCGCCCCGACCCGCGGGTGCTCCCCGGCAGGGATCAGTGGGAGGTTTCGGGGCACCGGCTCCAGCCCACCCGCGTGCTGAGAGCCGGGCTGTTCTGCAGGGTCGGGATCCCTGCGTGCTCTCCGTGCTGCACGCCGCGCTGTCGCGATAGAGGAGGGGTGGTTTGTACCGTCTCAGTCGTGCGCGTCAACCTGCCGTGGTAGAATAGGGATGCCCTGCATGGTTTTTGTATTGCACGCCAATATATCGCGATAGGGAAAGGTAACCTGCATGGTTCTGATCCTGCATGACGATAAAGCATGATAGAGGGATGCTCTGCACGGTCTCAGTAGTGCATGCTGATATATCGCGATAGAGTAGGGGTGCCCTGCACAGCCTCAGTACTGCACGCCGCTATATCGTGACAGGACAGGGATGTCCTGCGTGGCACGGTGGGTCAGCGCGAGCTGCGTGAGCAGGGCTCTGGGACGGTTCATCCCCTGGCCGGGTGGGGGACATCGCTGGGTCCCTGTGGGGCGCTGGGCGCAGCCTGCGAAGGCTGGTTTGGGGCGATATCGCACCGTCGTGAACGGGAAGCGAGACCAGCGGAGCTGCCGGCGCTGCAGGGGTGGCCTGCGAGCTGGCGGGTGATAAATCAGGAGGGGACGAGCAAGGACAGAGGCTGACAGGGATAACAGGCATGGAGGGAGGAAGAGACACCCCTCCTCTCCTCCTTCCCGGTCCCACATCTCTGTGCAACCCCTCGGGCCCACGGGGGCTCATGGGATGGGGACACTCTCCCCACGGATCAAGTGGATGCCGTGCATCTCCGTGCCTCAGTTTCCCCACCTCTTGGTAGGGAAACCCATGGGTTAGGCAGGATGGACCCGTCCCCTGAATCCGTGACCCCTCTAACCCACTAACTCCCCACACACATCTGTGTTCCCTGGGGGGGGGGATGGGGGCGTGGAGATGGACCCCCCACCCCTTACTCCGGGTGTGGGGGGGTGTCGGCGTCAATCGAGGTTTAGGGTTTGCTGGAGCGGGTGGAGGACAAGCGGCGAGAGCCGCTGTTGGGAAGGGCAGGGACGAGCTGAAAACGCTGCGAGTGCAAAATCCAGCGCTGCCTGGACGCCTGCCGAAGCCACGCGCTCCGGCAGCGCCTGGGAAGGGCCTAATCCTGCCCTGCGCTGACCCTGTCTAGAGGGGAAAGGGAGGTCAAGGAGAGCTGGGTCCCCGCCGGGGTGCCAGGCTGTCCCCAGGGCTCCAGCCCCATGCCGGGGCGAGGGCATCTCTGCCTGCCGCGGGGCCAGGACAGGGGAGTAATATCCCACTTTCTTTCTGCCCACAGAAGGGACAAACTCTTTCCCTGAGGCTGCAGGAAAATACCGAGCCAGAGAGCCCGAGGGCTTCCAGGAGATTGTTACAGTGGCAGAAAAGCTGGAGGAGCTGCAACTGCCCAAAGCGCAAGTGGAGATTGAGTCGCGAGGGGCGATATACGCCATCCCTTTCTTTAAGGATGCTGAGCTGGAAAAGCCGAGCCCGTCCCCCGAAGACGCCCGGGGGCCAGGGGCCTGGCACCCCCCGCTAGATACCTCCATGTCCTCAGGTCACCCAACCTCTGCCTCCCCTTTCCCCACGGCCCCGGCCGTCCTCGAGGCAGGCGTCCCCCCTTAGCTGTGGTGCAAAACCGGGGAGCCCGTCCCCCCACGGAGGAGGCTGGGGTGACAGGGACAGTTGGGCAGTGCGCAGCGGCCGGGCGCGGGCCATCCCGCGCGGGTAGGTCGGTGCCAGAGCTGGGGTGCAGAGAGGAGCGGAGGCGCCGGGATTGCAAGGAGAGGTCGGCAGCACCCGTGGGTGCCCGGGTCACCCCAACCATCCCCATCCCTCCCCTGGAGGGAGCACCCACGGCCGGGGCACCGGTGTCTTGGTGTAGGGCTTGGTGCACAAGTCACCGGCGTGGGGACATCCGTCTGTCCCTCCCTCGGCTGGGGTCCAGCGTGCAGGGTCAGTGCCAGACAGGGGTTTAGCAGCACAAAAAGCCGGAGAAGGGTGCTGGCGGCTGGAGGGAGAGGAGGCCAGGCGCAGCGGTGAGGGGCTGAGCACGGCCCCTGCTGCAGGGAAGCCTGTGCCGGGGCTGGGCTTGGCAGTGGCCGAGCCAGAGCTCGCTCTGCCGTGCCGGTTCGGAGGGGACAACGTCACAGAGGTTCGGGGCCGTTTCCATCTCCCTGCGCATCGCTGTGCCGGCGTCGTCCCCCCAGCTCTGCTCACCGCGGGCAGGACCAGCAGTGCCGGCGGGCGATGCCGGTGCCTGCAGCCCCGCGGTCTGGCTGGCTCCCCGGCGCGGGGCCTCACTGATTTTCTGCCTTGCCCTTTGCAGAGGAGGAGCGGGGAGCAGAGCCGGGCAGGGACCCCGGCAGCACAGCGGCGGAGAGCCCGGGCAGAGGGCGAGACCCCAGCCAGCCCATGGAGGGACCCACCGGCGCCCCGTCCCCAGTGGGGTCCACAGCAGGTGACGCGGAGCCTCCCGAGGGGTTTCCTCAGCCACCAAGCCCCACACACCGCCCTGACCGACCGCGGGATGCCGTGGGGCGGCCAGCCCACGCTGCCAGCCCTGGGGCACCTGGGCACCGGGTGCCATCGCCGACCAGCACCGCTTCTGCCACCTTGACAGATAGCCGAGAGCCTGGCGGGACCCCCCCAGGTGGCCACGAGGCTGGTGGGGCGAGCACCCCCGTCCCCACGGGTGAAGATGCCGAGCTCTCGGGAGACGTGGTCGAAAGCCCCGGGGCATCCCCGCTGCCCCCCGCGCCCTCGCAGCCGCAGGAGGAGGGAGAGGAGCAGTCGGGGGCCCTGTGGCTCCCCTCGCCCACGACCCTGGGGGACGGGAGCTCCGTCCCTACGGTGGAGGTGACAGCGGTCACACCGTGGCACGTCGAGGTGCCTGGCAGCAGCAGCAGCGTGCTGGCCGCGGGAGGCGAGGAGGCTGTGCCGCGACCCCCGGGCACTGACCGCGGGACACCGGCTGCATCTCTGGAAGAGGAAGAGGAGGAGGACGAGGAGGAGGAGGAGGAAGAGCAACCCGCTCCCTCCGTTGCAACCGTGGAGGGTTTCCTTTCAGCCGTTCCCGGAGAACCAGGTGGGACCCGCAGGGATGGCTTCACCTCTCCCCGTACCGGCAGCTCCGGGGTGACCCCGGCCCCCAGCACGGCTGCCCCCCTGCCCGCCCTCCCCACCGAGCGGGCCAGCGTCGGGGCGGGTGCCCACCCGGCCAGGGGTCCCCGCCGTGCCACCCTCGCCCTCGGGGCAGCCCTCCTGGCCACTCTCTGGCACTAGAGAAAGCCAACACCTTTCCTTCACGCTGTGCTTCCCTCTGTCCGTCTGTCTCTCCTCTCTCTCTCTCCTCCTCAGCTGGGTAAGGGAAGGTTACAGGTCCGGAGAAGCACATATTTGTCAAACAAATTGGTCCGAGCTCTGCATGCACTTAAATCTCTTCTACTTCTGTGAAGTGTTTTAATGACTGTTTCCATGAAAAAAAAAAAAAAAAAAAAAGAAAAAAAATCAAAAGAAGGCCCCAAACCCTACTCTGACTAACAGTGATACTAATAAAGGGAATTAAAAGCTTTCTAGAACAAGCATCTCGGCTAGCTCTTCCCTTCGTCCTTGCGCCTGCTGCCTCGCTCACCGCCCGTGCGCCTCTCCCACTGACGAACTAATCCCCCGGCCCCCCCCCCAGCCCCGCGAGACCCCAGGGAGAGGGGTGGGTGGGACCCCGTGTGAGGTGGGGTGTAGGCTACACCTGCTTTGCACCCTCCGTGTGGCCCCCCCGGGGCTGGTTCACCCCGTGTTGCTCTGGGTGGAGGGACAAGGGCTGGAAGCGTGAAGGGGGGTTGGTTGGGGGGGGGGCTTCCTACCCCTGGAGCCGTGGGGGGGCAGCGGTGGGACATGGGGTGCAGAGCCCCGCCAAGAGAACCCCTCCTCGTGTAGCTCTCGATGGCCAAGCACCCCGAAGTCACTGCAGTGCCCCTGGGGAGCACAGCCCCCCCCCCCCCCTCCATCCCCGCTCCCCCCGAGATGGGCGAGCGGTGGGTACGGAGCTGCTGCGGGTGGGTGTCACCACCCCCCCCCCGCCTCTGGTCCCCACGCCGGGATGCTCCCAGCTCTGACGCCGCTTTACAGCAGCCCCGTCTGCCCCCCTGGCTCCCTGCAAGGGCGGGGGGGGCTGCAGCGGGGGGGGGACCATGCGGGGTCCCGGTCCCGTGGCACGGAGGATGCGCCGTGGCAGGTGGCCAGACCTTGTGGGATGGCTGCCTTCACCCTGGCAAGGAGAGATGCTGAGAAAGAGCCGGGTGCAAGGCGGCAGGGCCCTAAATAGCTCACCCCGCTCCGTGCCTCGGGCTGCTGGGGATGAGCTGGGTGTCCCGAGTGGGCCGGGTGGGAGGTGATGGCTGCAGCATCGTCCTCAGCGCCGCTCCACGGAGCCAAGGACCATTAAATGGGCATCGTTAGGCTGGAGGGTGTCAAGGACTTTCAGTCTCCGCTCCGCCGGCGCTGGTGACAGCCCTTAATCACGCTCTTGAGCCGGGGCTGGGAGCACACGATGTGCTCCGGGAGCCTTAATGACCGTAACGGGCTGGTGGGGACATGTGGATTGGGGACGGCGCTGGCTGAGCTCTCAGCCCTGGTGTCACCGGCTGAAGGTGACAACAAGGGGACAGGCGCGAGGCTCACCTTGCCGCCAGGCTGAGAGGATGCTTGGCCGGGACGTGCCGAAGGCTTTATCCTCTGCGCCTCCCATCCCAAAGCGCATTCGCTCCGTCGCTCCAGGGGAAAGCAGGAGCCGTCCCCGGGCCAGGGGCTGGCACGGCAGCGAGCCCACTGGTGTGGAGGATGAGAGCGGCCAGTTTGTGTCCCCACGCCATGGGGGGAGGCCAAAGCCCAAAGCTCTGTCAGCTCTTGGCCGGGGCGGCTGAGCCAGGACCTTCCCGTGAGCCGAGGGCAGCGTGGGGCAGACGGGATGGTTCCTGCCACGTCACCGTGTCCCCAAATCCTTCTCCCGCCCCAGATTTGGTGCCCGCAGTGGCCAGCTCAGGCACCTCCTTGCTGTAGGGTGCTCGCTGCAGGGCTTTACCGCTGCTGGGCACTAACGAGGTCCTCCCCATCGCTGAGCTCCCGTGGTGAGGAAGGCTGCCTCTGCCTTGCAGGTGGCTGCGTCCCCAACCCCTGCCTGAACGGAGGGACCTGCACGGAGGACGGCGCCCGCCTCGCCTGCCTGTGCCTGCCCGGCTACGGAGGCACCAGCTGCGAAAGACGTGAGTCCCCCCAGCTCCTGCCAGCGGCCCAGGAGAGATAAATGTGGGGAAATCAGGTTTCTGGGGATTTTTGCTGGGCTCCGTCACGCTGACCCTCTCCTCTCTCCCCTCTTGCTCCCCACTGTGGCTCAGCGCTGGAGAAGTGCAGCCCGGGCTGGGACAGCTTCCAGGGAGCGTGCTACAAGCACTTCTCCACCCGGAGAAGCTGGGAGGATGCGGAGACCCAGTGCAGGCATTACGGGGGGCACCTGGCCACCATCCTGACCCCCGAAGAGCAGGACTTCATCAACGGTATGTGGCACCACCCGGGACCCTATTGCATCCCCCCGCCCCCGGAGCGCTGCCCCTCTGCCCAGGGGACCCTCAGCATCCCTCAGCCTTGGGCTTCAAGTTTTAAACCTTTAGCCAAAACGCAGCCGAGAGCCGAGGCAGAGACCTGGCGCCGCTGTGCTGAGGGGGAGGCAGACACGGTCTAGGGAAGTCAAAGAAAATAAAGAGTAAAGGGAAAATAAAGAGTAAAGGATATGAAGCCAATATGCTGGGTTGACCAGAGTGTGGTTGGCTGCTCACCGGATTCTTGGCTAGGGAGAGGTTAGGGGAAGCGTGACAGACAGCAGGCTGGCTGGGATGATGGAGGAGGAAGGGATGAAGGGATGGATGGATGGATGGATGGATGGATGGATGGATGGATGGATTGATGGGTTGACAGGTAGATAGATACACTGATAGAGATGGGAGCAGAAGGATAAATGCGAGATGGGTGGACAGACCGGCAGAGGGTTGGACACGTGCAAGTAGATTTGAAGGCAAAGCAATGACCTGCCTGAAAGCAGACGCGGAGGAAGAGTGTGGGGGGGAAGGCGGAGGGAGGCAGAGCAGGGGATGAGAGCGGCAGGGACGGGGCAAGGAGTGAAGAGGCCCGGAGGGACTTGAGGGTGAAGGAGGAAGGGGCAGGGTGAGACCTGGCAGGGACTGGCAGGGACAGGTAGGGACAGGCAGGGACTGGTAGGGATGGGCAGGGACGGACAGGGATGGGCAGGGACGGGCAAGGACGGACAGGGATGGGCAGAGATGGACAGGGACGGGCAAGGATGGACAGGGATGGGCAGGGATGGACAAGGATGGACAGGGATGGGCAGGGACGGGCAAGGATGGACAGGGATGGGCAGGGATGGACAAGGATGGACAGGGATGGGCAGGGACGGACAGGGACGGGCAAGGATGGACAGGGATGGGCAGGGACAGGCAAGGACGGACAGGGACGGACAGGGATGGGCAGGGACGGACAGGGACGGACAGGGACGGACAGGGATGGGCAGGGACGGGTAGGACCGGGCAGGGCCGTGGGGACACGGGGTTCTGCCGCCCTCTCCCGGCCGGCCCCGTCCCGCCGATCCCCCGGGGGTGCAGGAGCTGGGGGGGGGGGGGGTCCCGCTGTGTCCCCTCCGGGGCTCCCCTTGTCCCCAAACCTCCCAGCACCCTCCTCTAACACACACCACCCCACCACCCCCCCCCCCGCTGCAGGGCTGGGGACACCTCCACCTCCCCGCACTCACCTCCAGACCCCAAATCTCAAATTCAGCCTCCAGCTCCCCTCCTGACAGGGAGTGCTGGGACTCCTACCTGTGCCCCCCCCCCAACACCCTCCTTGCCCCCCCAGACCAGTACAGGGAATACCAGTGGATCGGCTTGAACGACCGGACCATCGAGGGGGATTTCCAGTGGTCCGACGGGAGCCCCTTGGTAAGTTGGGCTGACAGCCCTTGTGTGCGCCCCCCCCGGAGGTGAACCTCCGACCCCCCACCCCCCCAGGCACCTCATCATCCTTCTCCATAACTTGGGAACGTGCCTACTGGATGGGACCTATCCCGAGATCAGACTTTGAACCACCCCAAGAGCCTTTTGCATCCTCGGGGTTTGCCATGGGTGAGCCAGACCCCAGGATTTGGGGTCCCAGGACCATGCCAAGGGGCACGGAGATGCGACCTCATTCCCGATGGAGTGGGTGTCCCAGCCAGGAGGATGCCTTTAAGCGCCGCCCCCCCCGGCCTTAAAGGGTGTGCTGGGGTGCACCCTGTCCCCCTTGTCCCCCCAGCTCTATGAGAACTGGCACCCCGGGCAGCCCGACAGCTATTTCCTCTCCGGGGAGAACTGCGTGGTCATCGTGTGGCACGACGGGGGCCAGTGGAGCGACGTGCCCTGCAACTATCACCTCTCCTACACCTGCAAAATGGGGCTGGGTAAGCCGTGCCTGCCCCCCGCAGCCCTGCCCCGGGCTGGGGGGTGGGGGGAGGCTAGGGCTGCACCCCTCCACGACCCCAAAGTGGGGGTTCCCCACCATCCCCGCAGTGGGGAAAACAACTCCTGGGCGTGGGACCTTGTTTGGGGTTTATTGAGGGCGGTTTGCTCCACTTTGGCCGTGCCCATCCGCAGCTGGCTGCTATGAACCCCCCCCCCCCCCCCTTGCCCCTCTCCCTCGCAGTGCAGTGCGGGCCCCCCCCCGCCGTCAGCAACGCCCACGCCTTCGGCAAACCAAAGCAGCGCTACGAGATCGGCTCCATCGCGCGGTACCAGTGCCGCCGCGGCTTCGTCCAGCGCCGCTCGCCCGTCACCCGGTGCCGGGAGGACGGGACGTGGGAGCCACCCCAACTGACCTGCCGCCCCGGTGAGCACAGGGCCCCCCCTCCGGTTCCCTCACCTCTCCCGCTCCCCCCCCCCCCCCCCCCCCTTCAGAATCTGCCTTTGGGGCTTTCCCTTCACCTGGGGCTTCTTGTGTCCCCCCCACCCCCAGGCCTGGCTCAGCCCCCCGACGACTGAGCGAGTCCCCAGGGCAGAAGCCACCACCTCCCCGAGCCCTGGAGCTGGTGCGGATGGGGACGGCACTGGGACGCCAGCGCGGACCCCAGTGGGGCACGAAACCTCACTGTTGGGCGTCCACCTCCTTGTTTGTTTTATATCTGTACAAAAAAATCCTAATAACTAAAGATCCCCTCGGAAGGAACCAACAGCGACCCGAAATGTAGCACAAGAGGAGTTTTGGTCCTGGAGTCACACCAGAGTCGAAATCAAGGTGGGGACTGCGGGGAGGTGACGGCATCGACGTGCCAGCATCACCTCCAGCTGCTTTCTCCCACTGTCCTCACGCTGTGACACCGTGCTGGGGGGTGACATGGGGACATCCAAGCCGTGCTGCGGCTCAGCACCTCTCCCGGGGTGCAGGGGGGCTTTTGCGCTTCCCAGGAAAGGCAGAAGCCGCTGCTGTGGGCTCGGGGTGAGTTCATGTCACCCAAACCCCCTCTCTGTGCTTCTGTGGGTATTAAAACCAGTAAACGGACAGTGCGGAGCGGTGGCCTGGTCATTTGGGGCAGCCCCAGTGCAGAGAGGGGGGGAAAGGCAGCCCCAAACTGGGGAGCGCGGCAGCGCCCACCAGCACCGTGAAGCCGGGGAGCCCCTGGCACAGCGACGTCCCCAGGGACCACAGGAACAGGGAGGCACAGCCCAAAGCGTCCCCGCATCCCGGCGGCATTGAGGAGCGGTCAGGATTCAGGCTGGGATGCTGCTCCCGGCAAAGACGTGGGGGGGGCACATCGCAGGTACCAGGGGGGTGCTGGCATCCCCCCACGCGGTTTTTCCCCCTGCACTGTGCCAGCTCCGGTGCTTTTTATAGCTCTCCCTGGCTGTGTTGAACAGCAAAACTCAGAAATCCCCCGTGTGCAGTGCCAGGAACACTGATAACCCCCGGGACAGGGTGTCTGGGGGGCCCCGAACTGGCTGCCCCCCTGCTTGAGACGGAAAGTCCTTGTCAAATTCCCCTCATTGAGGGGCCAGACGGTCCCGGGGGGGCAGAGGCCAGGCGACAGCGTGGCTTTGCCGTGCAGCTTTACCGTCGCTTTATTAATTGAGAAGGCGAAACTCCATTAGTCACACTCGTTAATGCCCAGCCCTCCCGCGCGCTTGCACCAGCCAGAGTCCTTGTGGGGAGTGAGGATGGGGCGAGGGACGCCCTGGGGTTGGGGAATGGGGAGCCTGTGGTGCCTACTGGGGGGGCTGGATTCAACCCCCCTTCCTGCCCCAGCAACGGGTCTGGCTTTCTCCAGCGAGCCCTGAACACCCAACAAGCCCCAAAGCTCCATCAGAGGATGCACCAAGCACCCAAACCCGGCTCTACCGCTTCTGTCGGAGGGTGCACTGAACCACCCGAAAGCACCAGGAGACCCTCCCCTGACCCCCCCCCCCCCTCCACCCTTCAAACCCTGCCTCAAGCTCTCTCTGCCTGGGTGACGAGAGCCAGCGTCCCGCCAGCGTCCCCTCCGCTCAGCCCACCTCTCCTCCCGGCGTTCCTACTTCCCCGCGAAGCAGTAGGTGCCGTAGCTCCTCAGCTCCTTGCTGGGAAAGCCGAAGCTGCGGACGCCGGGGTCGGGCAGCCCCCCGCAGCGCTCGCGGGGGGTGGCGATGGGGTACCGCACGCTGCCGTCCGCCAGCCACCCCCCGTCACAGCGATCCAGGTGGGAAAACTTCCAGGCCGAGTAGAGCTGCCCCACTTTGGCGATGGCAGCCCCGTGGTTGCGACACGCTTGCCCGGCTTCCTTGAAGTTCAAGTGGCCCCGGACGAAGTAAACCTGGCCTGGGGGTGAACGGGGACATGGTGGGGTGACCAGCCACCACGGGTGGCCCCCTGGGGACAACCCCAGCCCTGATGTAGAGCTGGGTGGGCATCGGGGTTCGGAACCGCTGTTGGGGGGACGGGAGACCCCAGCGCTACCTTGAAGAGCAGAAGTGAAGCAGAAAGCATCGAATCGGTCCTTCTGCTTGTCCTTGGCCCCGTAAGTCCGAACGCCCGGGAGGAGGAGGCGGCCGCCGCAGGGCTCCCGCGAGTTGATGATGGGGTAGTGGACGGTCCCGTCGAGGATCCAGCCGGCGTTGCACCAATCCAGACCCTCCGTCCAGGCTGCGGGGCAAGAGACGGCTCAGCACCGGCACTTCCCTCCTCCCCAGTCCCGTGCCCAGCGAGGTGCGCTTAGGGGTGCACAAAAGTTTGGTTTTTTGGTTGTTTTTTTTTTTTTTTTTTTTTTCAGATGCTTCACCTTTGTAGAGCTGCTGGTAGGTGGCGAGGCGGGAGTCCTGCTGCTCGCAGGCTCGCTTGGCTTCGTGGTAGTTGAATTTGTAGCGCCCGTTGCTGGGCTGGTAGGGAAAGACAACGCCTGGGGGGGACAGGGACAGGGGTGGAGGGTGAAGGAGGTAATCTCCCCGAGGCTTTGGCTTGTTATCCCCAGGGATTCAGTGCTGAAGATAAGGCTGGGGCACGAGGCGTTGCAACAGGGGACACGACGGGTGGAGGCACCCAGCCGTGGACCCCCAGTCTAGTCCAGTGTCCCCTCTCCGCTCTCCCCGACGTCCCCTTGGAGGGACCCCCCCCTCACCTTCGAGGTGCAGCGTGAGCGAGACACTCTCGTCCTCCAGCCCGTTGACGAGCTGGCAGCGGTAACGTCCCTCGTCCTCCAGAGCCACGTCGGTGATGGTGAGCGAGGCATCGTAGCGGTGGCTGTGCCGCAGGCGCACCCGCGGGCTCAGCGGCCCGTAGTTCTTGTGGTACAGCCCGTTGGTGATGATGATGATGCTCTCCCGGTAGTTGGCTGGCTCCACCTTGCTCCACTTCACCCGGTAGTTGCGGGGCAGGGCGCGCAGGACGCAGGGCAGGGTGGCCGTGGCACCCCGCTGCGTGTGCACCGTGGGGTGGAGGGGCTCCAGCAGGTACTGCAGGCGGGGGGGGGCTGCGGCAACACCCCCGCAGCCTCAGCGCCGGCTCGCCATCCCTCCAACACCCCCCCCCCCAGACGCCCCTTGACCCTCATGGGCATCTACAATCTGGTTTCCATCACTCATCTTGGCTCCTTTTCCCCCCTCCTGCAACCCCTGGGATGCACAGCTCAGCCCTTGCCTGGGCTGGACACCCCCCCCCAGCATCATTTCCCTCCTCCCCTTGGATCCTGCTCCCTACCTGGGCTCCCCGTCGGCCGCTGCAAGATGCTCAATGCCGGGGATGCCACCAAGAACCAGAAAGAGCCGAGCAGAAGAAGCTGCTGCATCCTCAGAGCTGGGTGCAGGACAGTGCCTGGGGGGGGGGAGCGCAGGGGTCAGGGAGGTGCAGCGGGACCGTACCCCAGCTTCAGGGGGGCCCGGAGGACGTGGTGGGGGGCACCTGCAGCGCTTGCTGCTGTGGATGCCATGGGGCTGCCGGGTGGCCCTGCTCTGTTGGGGACACACCGACGTTTACCGTGCGAAGCGGGGGGGGATGTCCCCTCACCTCCTCCCCGGCACACCAAACCTCTTACCGTCCCCAGCCGTGTCCCTTGGGGAGCCGCCGTTCCCATCCAACGCCTCCAGCGCGCGTCCTGCCCCGCCGCCCGCCGTGTCCCGTCTCCGTCACAGCCGCCCCATCGCGAGGCCGAGGGCTCCGGAAAGGACAAACCTGTGTCACGGTGCTGCCGGGGAAGAGGGGACACGGGGACACAGCGGGGGGGGGGGTTCCTCCCAGCCAGCCCCTGCCCTGTCACCGTCCCGGGGCGGGCAGCGTCCCGGCAGCCCCACGTCCCCGCGGGCCCCCCGTGCCGGCTCCCATGGTGCGTGGGACCGGCGAGCACCGGCTGTGCCCTCGCTCCCTGCTCCGCCGCCGTCTCTTCCCGCTTTCTTCTCTCTTTTTTTTTTTTTTCTCCTCTCTCCCCACACCTCCCCGAGGAACGCACGGGGAGGAGGAAGCACAATTTCCCATTGTGAGCGTCTTTCTCTTTATTGTTCTGCTCGGCAAAAACACAGCGCGCCCGGCTAACAAACATCCCTTTATTTGCTGGCCACAGTGTCGGGGAATTTGGGGAAAATGCCAGCACAGGGCTCCAGCAGCCCCTTGGGCTGGCAAAGCCTCCCCTCGGCATCGGCCCCCAGTGCCGGGACGGTGCTCACTGCTCCCACAGACAGCAGAGCAATGGTTTATTTTATGCCCCTCCCCATCAAGTCTCCGATGGGGAGATGCTGCTCCCATCCTTCGGGGCTCCGACAGGTCGTCCCTGATGCTCTTGCAATCTCACCAGCCTCATCCTGCCCTGCAAAAAAAGCATCGGAGAGGCTTCCCCATCGTCACCTTGGGGCCGGGATGCTGCCGGGAGCAAAAACCGGCCGCACAATGGGGCTGTGTTCTGGGCTCCCTTATCTTCTCCCTCCCCCAGGGTCCATCTCCAAGGGTGGAGGAAGCTCTTCGCGAAGGAAACACAAGACAAGCAGCGTCTGTCCCCGGCACCAAAGGACACAGTGATCCTGGCTTCGCCGTGGCACGCACGGCACAGAAAACAAACCTCCCCGGTGGGGAAGCGGCACCAGGGCGCGCGCTGGCTCCCCGGCCCCTTGCCCCCAGCCCCTGTTTAAATGGAGTTGCTTGTGCAGAGGGGTTAACGCTATAACCTGCCATCAATTTGATGCCAGCAGGCTGGACTTAAAGCCTCCAAGGCTCTCCCAGCACAAACTGGTCGGTGCTTTGGCTCATTTTAATGAGCAAAAAGAGGCCAGAGCTTTGCTCCCCCCATGCAGAGAACAGCTAAACCACAGCAGCACTGCACGCTCCGCTCCCACACCCCCCCCTACGGTTATTTTGTGGGTCCGTGGCTGTTCAGAGAGCACCCGTGATCTCCCCCACACACACTTCCCATGCCCAGAGCTGCAAAAGCAGATCCTGATCCCCAGCAGCAGCGCCCGGCCCCGGGGCAGCCTCTCAGGGCTCTTTGGCAAGAGGATGCTGTTTCCCAGCTCTGTGGTACCACTATCGAGCTGAGTCATTTCTTGCATTTTTCCCAACTGAGGGCAATAGCTACACCCCTCGCCTCTCACAAAACCACAGCCCGAAGCAGGACACTGGCTGGGACCTCCAAAAGTGACTCATTCCCCTTCCTCATCCCATTGGCGTCAGGGCATGACCCCAACCCGATGCTGCTTATCTGAGATCATAGTTTGGCCCGCCGCTGTGGAAAGGAGTTACCCGAGTCACTTCCCAAACACACTCTGTGTTTTATTTCTCGGCTCCTTTTCTCTTCCTTTCCCTTTTTGGGATTTGTACCCGCTCTCGGTGCATTACAAACACCTCTCTGCAAAAGCAGAAGCAGCCAAAGAAAAGCAAAGGAAACCCTTGCGTTCCAGCTCCCCCCTCCCACCTCTCCTGGCACAGGTTACAAACAGCTCCTTGCCTTTGTTTTTCAAGGCTCAGCTTCTCCTCCTCCCCACGCAGCCCCACAGGTAACCTCTTCACCAACCCCGCCCCCCCCCAAACCATCACTTTTCTTACTGACCAGGGAGTTTAAACTTGGCTTTGCTGTACTTGCCGGAGCCTAGCACCACCGCAGCGGGTCAGTCCCCCTGCGCTTGCTGCACCACGCTCCGTCTCCTCTGTCTGATCCGATCCCCCCAAACCATCACAGTTCTCCCGTGACGAACCTCCAGAAAGGCTGAAACCTCAGGCATCCCCAAGCCCCCCCCCCCGCCGCCTCCAGCACCCCAGATCCCACCCTGACCCTCTCACACCCAGCCAAGACAGACGCTGACGTTAAAAGCCCGGCGTGTTTCCCCAGCACAGCAGCCTGAGCAGCCTGATGTGGCAAAACCAGGTTGCCGAGGCGTGCCAGGGCGGCCAGCCCGGGGTTTCCGTGTTGGCAGCACCGTCCGGCTCTTCCGCCCGTGGGAAGGACCGAGGCGAGGGCAGGACCTGGCAGCCGCTCTGGCAGGCGGAGTTTGCAGCCCCAATGCATCTCTCCTCGTGTCTCCCCGGTTTCGGGAGGGTTTATCTGTCCCGAGCACCCCGCAACATGCCTGAGCACACGGCCGCCTCGAGGCTTCGGCTCTCCGGGCTGTGCTTCCTCCTCCAAATCCTCACCATCCTCCTCTTCGCCAGCTTTGTCCGGTACAGCCCAGAGAGCAGCCCCAGCCTCTGCTCCCAGCAGCTGAACTGCAGCTGGAGAAACCAGGACTTGGGTTTTCAGCATCCCCGTGAGTACCCCCACCCCGGGTGGGTGCGGAGAGTGGCTCTACCTGGTCCCCAGGTGCTGCCGAGGGGGTGGCAAGGGGTGTCACCATGCTGGGTCCAGGCTGCAGAGCTGTGACACCATCCAGCTCCAGACTGGACTCCAGAGTAAAACGGAGGAGGGGGAACATCAGGCTGCAGGGTTGGGGTACCGGTGCACCCCGCTGAGGAGGGGTTGGTGGGTGGAAAGGAGACTTTCTGCAAGGATTTCCCACATGCTTGGACAAAGCCAGGCCCTAAACGGGGATATTTGGGTCTAGGAGACGCTGGAACACGGAGAGGATCACTCTGTGCAGGGGTTGTCCTCATGCGGCAGCTGCTCCGGGCACTTTGGGGTCCGCCAAACTTCCCACTGACCTGCTGGGGTTTTGCAGTGCTGAGGGATTCGCACTGATCCCCTTTCACGGGGGATTTGGCTCCCTCGGGGCTGCCGCAGCATCCAACGCTGGGCTGGGGTGGGGTACCCCACTGGGAGCATCCTCCTGCGTGCTGTGAAACTCATCCTGGGCTGGGGACTGAGGGACCCACCCCGGCTTTTCCAAGGCAAGGGAGGGGAGCTGAGAGGAGCAGAGCCACTGAGCAGGGAGCAGGCAGGTTCTCCCGGTTTCACCTGCCCACGTAACCCCACCCAGGCTGGCTGTGACTCAAGGGAAGGACAGACACAGCTCCCGGCACAGCCGGGGGTGCAAAGGGCATTTAATCCAAGTGAGAATCAGGTCATTTCTCCTCTGGTTTGCCACCAAAAGGTACCAGACTGGTCCCATTTCACCCTCCTAGTCCTCTTGTCCCGTGAAGTGGGACGGGATGTTTTCAGGGGCAGCAGAGAGGTCCCTGGGGGTGGGCTGGCATCTCAGACCCACCTTTGCGCTGGTGTGATGGGTGCAGGTGGCTCTCGGCCACCCCAAGAGGTTTATTGGGGCTGCAGGGTGACCCACATGCATGGACTGGGGTGTCTGCACAGCGTGGTTGCAAACGGGGTGGCCAGGAGCCACCTCAAAGGGTGGTAGGGGACACATCGTGGGGGGGGGGGGGTGTGGGTGTGATGGCTTTACCTGTCACTAGCACAAGCAACAACCGCTCGTGGTCTCTGCTGGAGGTCTCCAAGGGAGATCCAAGGCCAGATGCACCACGGTTCCAGAGACATGTAGGTGGAGCAAGGCTGATTTATATTGCCTGAAGCCTTCAGCTCCCCAAAACCGGGGGAGCAGGGGGTGTCTGAGCCCCCTTTGGGTGACCAGCAGGCAGGAGGGGGGTTGCCTGCCCTAGATACCCCAGACCCATCCTTCTGCCTCTCCTCTGCCAGGTTTCCGGGATGTCCATCTCCAGTCTCTCCTTGGCTTCGGGCTCCTGGTGGCCTTCCTCGGCCGTTACGGGCCGGGCAGCGTGGCCATCAGCATCCTCATCGTGGCTTTTTCCATCCAGTGGGCTGTACTGATCCAGGGTTTTTTATACTTCTTCCTGAATGGCAAAATTTACATGGGAGCTCAGAGGTAAGGCAGGCGGGAGCTTCTGCTGCCTGGCTGCGATCGTCCCAGTTCCAGCCCTGGCACACTGGCTCCCTCCTCTGTAAAACTCACAGCTCTGCTTTGGAGGAGGATTATGAGGACAAGTAGGACCAGGCTGCTGGGTTATCTGAGTACCACACTAGTTAGGGCCATGTAAGTACCGCCAATTTTACAGCCAGGTATTTAGGGGGGGCACGCTGGCCCCCGCCTGCCTCAAGCCCAGCTGTCCCTTTGTCACCAACATCGCAAGGCTCGGGCTGTCCCTTCAGCTTCCAGGAGTGGTGGGATGCAGGGTCCGGGCTGCAGGCTCAGCTCCCGTTCCCCCCAAATCTGCTCACCCCCCAACAGCGTCAGGTCCAGCCCCACACCTTCCCTCTCCTTCCCAGCATGGTGAGTGCCGACTTCTGCACCGCAGCCATTCTGATCACCACCGGAGCTGTTCTGGGCAGGGTAAACCCTGTTCAAATGCTGCTGCTGACCCTGCTGGGAGTCACCCTCTTCACCCTCAATGAATACGTCCTGCTCAGTCTCATGGGGGTGAGTCACTGATGAGGGGGGGCCCACCATAAAGGGCATCACCATGGGTTTAGGCTCCCTAAAATCCATGTCAAGTCCTGCCTTGTCTGTAGAGACAAATCGCATATCCCTCCTTCCTGCACGGTGTTTTTCTGTACTCACCAGGTAAGAGACAGCGGAGGCTCCTTGACCGTTCACACTTTTGGTGCTTATTTCGGCTTGATGGTTTCACGGATCTTGCACGAGCCTCAGATGGACAAGAGGAAAGAGCAGCAGGACACGGGGCACCAGCCAGATTTCTTTGCGGCGGTTGGTACGGAGCTCGAATCCTACAACACCGGAGTCATAGACACGGTGGTGGTAGGATCATCACCAACACTAGGACAGTGTGGCTGTGGCTTTGATCAACAGAGTCCTGCAAACCATCAAGGACAGATGTCCTCTACCTCCCTGGGGACTTGTCCTGGGGCTGCACCACCCTCTCCTGGAAAAAGCTTTCCCTTTTCTAAAACCTGAACCTCCCACACTGCAAACTGTGGCCACTTCCATCTCGGCTCTAGCAAGAAGCTTCTTTCCCATGAGGGATCAACACCAACATCAAAACCTGCCTGTTCCCCTTCCCTGCAGGAACCATCTACCTGTGGATCTTCTGGCCCAGCTTCACTTCAGCCACCACTGTCCGTGACAACGCCGAGCCCTGGGCAGTGCTCAACACCTACTTCTCGCTGGCGGCAAGCACCTTGGCCACCTTTGTCCTCTCGCCTGTCCTCCACGAGGAGGGCATGCTGCCGATGGTAGGTCCTCTCCTGGGACAAACCCAAGTCTCATGCACTGCCCACGTCCCGTCCTACAGGGACAGCGAGCATGAATACACCCAGGACAAAAGGGGATACCCGTTAGGCTTTCTTAGGTTTGTTAAGACCCAGTTTGATCCCTGAGGAAGTCCAAATCTCCCCAGCCCCATGCTGATGTCCTCCATGAAGCCAATTCCCCTAACCATGTCCTGCTCCATCAGGTTCAGATCCAAGATGCCACCCTGGCCAGCGTGGCTATGATGGGTATGGCTGGGGAGATGCTGGTCACCCCTTTTGGGGCCCTCATCGCGGGGTTTCTGGCTGGCCTGATCCCCCCCCTTGGCTTCAGATTCTTCACGGTGAGTCATCTTGGGACAGCCGAGGACACCGGTCCCAGGTCAGGGGACCACCCCGCTTTTGGGGGGAGGCTGCATTGCCACCCTGCAGCTCCCAAAGCCCCAAACCCCGAGATGCAGCGCAGCCTCCCTGGGCAAGCATCCTCCCTCTGAACCCCGGATTTTCCCTAACGCTCTCCCCAGCCCGTCCTGCGCTCCAGGCTGAAAACCCAGGACACGTGTGGGGTTCACAATGTCCACGGGCTGCCGGGGATCCTGGGCACCTTGCTGGGGACGCTGCTGACAGCACTGGCCACCGCAGATGCTTACGGTGGCAGGTGAGAAGAGCCAGAATCAGCGGTGCCAGTGAATCCGTGCACCAAGCTGGGGCCACCACGACCCCTGAAATTGGGGATGCTCCATGCATCCCCTTATAGCAAAACAGCCAGAGCCATGAGAAGAGCCCCCGCCTGGGTAAACAAGCTCCCCAAAACCCCCGTCCCTGCCCCGGCTTGCAGATTAGAGCTCGTGTTCCCGCTGGTAGCCCAGGGCAGCCGGACGGCCACCGACCAAGCGCTCCTCCAGCTCTGCGCCCTGCCCGTCACCCTGCTGCTTGCCACGCTCGGGGGCTGCCTCACGGGTGAGTTTTTCCTCCAGTGGGAGGGTACGAGGGTCAAGGGAACCGATAGATTTGGGGGAAAAGCCCAGGAGCAACCCCAAAGTGAACCCTCGGCCGTGGCGGGCAGAGCCCAGCGGTGCTCGGCGCTGCGCAAAACCCCCGGGGCCGGGGTAGGGGCTGTCCCCCAGGGTTGGGGTCGGGGCTAGGGGTGCCCCTGCGGCTGGGGGTGCCCCCGGGGCCGGGGTTGGAGCCGGGGGGGTCCCCGGGGCCGGGGCTCCGCGCAGCCCAGCCCAGCGCTGCCGCTAGATGTCAGGGGAAGCCCGGCTAGAGGAACCGGGCAGCGCCGGTCGCCCGGCTCTCAGACGCCCTCGCCCGGTTTTTGGCATCCTCAGGAGCCGTCCTGAAAATGAAGGGGCTGAGGGCTCTCCCGGATACGCAGTGCCTAGAAAACACGGTCCTCTGGGAGGTAAAGCTGGGGGTTTGCTGGTTAAAAAAAAAAAAAAAAAAGGGGTTTACGGAGCTCAGGTAGCAGCAGAGGTTGGATGCTTCCCTGGCTGCCGATACCCTCCCTCCTCCTGCATGGCCTTTTTAGCGTGGGAAACAGCTTCATTAAACACCCCCAGCTCCCCCCCACCCAGTCCTGATTTGCCCCGAGGGCCCATTTCCACCCCTCTCCATGGCTCTGCGTTGGTGTAGGTGACCGAGGAAGGATGTGACCGCAGGGCAAGGAGAAAGGAGCTGGGCGCCAGCACCTTGGTCTAACCCTGACCCCGCCTGGTGAGGTCCTGCAGCATCAGGCTCGACCCTCTGCCGGCGTCGGGCAGCTTCTGGCAGCCTGATTTTCCCAGCAGCCTGATCCAGAGCCAGCCAGGCTTGTCCCCATGTGGGAGCCAGCCCCTGGTCCCAAAGGTTTTGGGAGCAGTCGGGTGCCCACGGGCCTTTGCAGGGTGAAGAGATGCTGCAGTGATACGGGTGCTTGCGGTGGGAACGACCTGGCTTGCTCCAGGGACCCCTCAGGCTGTCCAGACATGGCTCAGCCATTTCCCCTCTCTGCTCCATGCCTCAATTTCCCCATCTACTGCTCTCCAAAGAGAGGAAGGCAATGAGGGGGGCTGTGTCTTGGATGGGGAGTACCAGGCTCCACAGAAAGCAGCAAAGACTTTCTACAGACAATTTTGCACACAACAATTAAAACACGGTGATGTTTTGTAGCTTCGGGCTTTGCCAGTGAATTCTCCCAGTGCCTGCCCAGCTCTGCGGGCTGAATTCCCTTCAGGTTTCTTTCCTGAAAAGCAAAAAGCTTTTCCAGGAAAGCAAAGCCCCCAGAATCCCCCCTTCACCCTAACAACTGATGCCCATGCGATGGGTTTCATGGGTTGCTCCATCCCTATCGTGTCCCCCCACCCCGAGGGGGGTACCCTCCTAGAGCCTTGGCCACCAGAATGTGCCAGCACCCGGGAGCAAGGCCAGGGTGACACTGGGGTCCCCAGCACAGGGGTGACCCCTGCCTTCCCTTTTACCACTCATTGTCTTGTACTGGGGACTGGGGCCAAGAAAAACGCCCCCTCCCCAAAACCTGAAAGTGCCTCCCAGCACTCAGCCCCACTGGGAGAGGGATGCTCCCCAGGCCATTGCAGCGCCCAGGTCCCCCTGTTTTCCAGGACACCCCCAGTAGCTCCCAACACCCCATCTCCACGTGTCCCACCACCGCCACCACCCTGTCTGCCTGCCCCATGTGCGGGCAGCACCCCCCAAACCAGCCCAGGAGCGGGTTTGAGCACCCCGGGAATACGGCAGCTCGAGTGAAGCCAAGGGGAGGGAGGTCCTACAGCACCTGGAGTGGGGGCACAGCCCCAAAGGGCTCCTGGGGGGGGTAATGGTGACCGTGGGGGGGTCCCTGGTGGGAAGAGGCCTGGGGGGGGACCCACCTCTCGCGAGACCAGGGGCGGCTGCCAGATGCTTTCACGCCTCCGGTGCCAGACTCTGGCACTCACCATGTGGGGTTCCCACAGGCGCAGTGTCCCCAACTGCCAGCACCATCCCCCGGGGAGGGGACACAGCCCCATGCCACGCAGAGGGGACAAGGGGTTCAGGGCCAGCGTACCAACGTTTGGGGTAAGCAGTTTGCTACCCAAAGTGGCCACATTTAGGGCCGTCTCATTTTAATACCTGCTGCTGTTGAAATACCTAGATTTTATTTTCTTTATGTGATTGCATCAAAGATGCAAAAAAAAAAGAAAAAAATGACTCAGTTGCAGGCTGGCCACAAAACGTTACTTTTAAACTGGGCTCTTTATCCTTTCTAAAAGGAATTAAATCAAATTAGAGGGAATTTGGAGCTGGAAGCATTGCTCCACAGCAGAAATTCGAAGCTTCTTACTTTGATACAAGTCAAACCATCGCTCAAAGTTTTCCAGTTTCAGTTGTTCATTACAGGAAACCTGATGAAATCAACACATTTGCTAAATGCTTCGGTGCCACTGAATTTCTACGACAAAACACAGGGAAGTGGGCCACGTGGCTCCGTTCCTGCTGCCACCGCAGGCGCTGGGGCGGGGGGGGGGGTTCCTGCTGTCCCTGCTCCATGCAGAGACCCCAGCCCCACTCCACGCTCCGGTTGTAGGGGAGGACACGTCCCACGTGCCCACCTCCCCGTGGCACACACCGCTCCCCGGTGCCGCCTCGCAGAGGAGGGATGCAAGAAGCAGCAGCACAAGGGCTGGTGCCCCAACAAGGGGGGTGCCGGGCTCCAGTCCTCACCCCCAGGCTTGGGGCGCAGGGCTCACCGCCAGCCCCGCGCCCCCCGCTCCCACCTCGCCTCCTTCCCAGACCTCTCCTCCCCTTTCCCAGGCAGCCCCTTTCCCCTTTTTGATCTCCTCGCCGCACGTTTCAAAAGCAACCCACTGCGACGGGAAGAAAAGCCCCTCCAGTGAGATCATTGCGAGACCCCCAGACGTAGGGGTCGGGTGTGAAATGGACCTCCCTCCTCCTCCTCCCCTCCCCCGGCCCCCCGGCCCCTCTGAAAGGTTGTTATGTTTTGTAATCGGATTAGGGGAGCCCTGCGCCCTCCCCGTTCCCATTTACCAGCACGACCAGCTTGCGTGCCACCACTCTCCCCGCAGATTGTTTAAGCGAGCCGAACGCGAGCGGAGAGCTCGCCCGTGCAGCGGCGAGGGTAGGTTCGGACGGCGAGAGCCTGAAAGGTTTAGTCAGCGAACAAATTGCTTCTCTGTAGGGGCCGTTTTCTTCCCAAGTTGAACATAATGATGGCAGTTTGGCGAACAGATGGTGCGGCTAAGCAGATAATCCCGCCGGCCCCGCTAGCTCGGGGAGAGGCAGCGTCGGCTCTGCCCGCAGCTCCGGGGGCCCGTCCCGGGACGGGTGGGTCACGGCGGTGGTTCGGTGATGATCGCACCCCGGCAGGGCACGGGGAGCTTGGGCGAGCACCCCACCTTCACACCCCTTCTGCTTCGAGGGTGGTTTGGGTGCCAGACGCCGCTCGTGCCTCAGTTTCCCCAGCCCTGCGGGGAAGTCTCTGCTCCGTCACTTTTCAGAGCAGGGCTCACCCTCAGATCTCAGCCTGACACGGGGAGGTGTACCGCGAGACAGCGCCGCTCTCCCTGCACAGGAGCAAAGGCCAGCTGAGAAAAGCTCATTTTAGTCTCATTTTCTCTTTTGCCTTTCTCTCCAACCAATATTCAAGATGTGGAAAGAGCCGGAGAAGAAATTCTGCCAGCTCACAGGGGTTGAGAGCACAGCGTGTGTGTGTGGCAGGCTCAGGGATGCTGGGACCTGCCTGCTAAACCAGCCTTTATATAAAATACATCCACAGGAAAAGCCCAAGCCCCCACCAACACGACGCAGGCAGGGGAGGGCATGGACCCAGCTGCGTGGAGCAAGCCCTGCCCGTGCCACGCTGGCACCGGGGACCCTTTCCCCACGCCACGGGGCTCTCGCAGCCGGCAGGACACGCTCCAGACACACCACACCACATCCCTGATTCCAGGGGGTTCATTTAATTCATGTGTATCTCCCCCCTCCCTGCCTCTCCCCAGCCTTATCCCCTGAGAGCCCCCAACTCTGACAGCTCCCTTGCCCTCTCCTGTGGCAGCCCAGCTGCCTAAATCACCTCTTGCTAATGCAGGAGCTCGATCAGCTGCTCGAAGGGTGTTTTACAAGGAAAAGCAATAACAACATCTATCTGTTACAGCTGGGGAAACTAAGGCACACAAAGAGGTGCCGGAGAGTCCATTGGAATTAGAGGCAGGACAAAGCCCGGGCTCCCAGTGCTCCTGGCGTACGTGTCCTTACACATCCACAGCCCCCACCACCTCCCCACCCCCAGGAACAGCTGATGCCGTGTGCTGTTTGATAGAAAGCCAGCTAATCATCTTTCCCACCTTCGTTAGAGTGTGAATCGTTATCCGAGCGACACCTGTAAAGCTCCTTGTCAGACGAGGCTGGTGCACGCGTCTAATAATGGGCACCATATGGGAGAGGGAAGGCTCGGGAGAGGAGCAGGGGCCCGAGCATCCCCGTGCCGAACAAAGAGCAGCGCCCGACGGCTTCCCATCGCGGCGCAGCATCACCAGCACCGGGCCGCGGCGAGGGAAGAGCCGCTGCTCGTGGTATTAAACGTCTCAGTAACTCCCCGGGCAGCCCCTGCCCTTTGGAAAAGGTCCGGGCAAAAGCAAATCACAGCTTGAGCCTGCAGGTTAAAGGTGGAAGAGCCATTGTAGCCCTGCTCCCCGCAGCGTGCCCAAAACCTGGGAGCGGGCACCCCCAAAATCCACCACGGCCCATCCCGCCGTGCCTCGGAGCATCCTCTCACCGCCAGCCTGGCAGAGGCCACCCATGGGTGCAGACAAAGCCTCCCCACGATTATATGGCGACAGGGAGGACGTGGCATGAATTAGAGACGGGTCCGTGCATTGAGGCTGATCCAGAATCCCCCCAGACTCCCTCCCTGACCCCAAACTTGGGGGGCAGAGCTCAGCCCCTCTGCCAAGCCACCCCCCCCCCACCAATGAAATCCCCCACCGCCTTCACCCCACCGCAATTACGAAGCTCCGTTTTCAGGCCCTCATTCATCGCCAGCAGCGTAATGAGCCTCCGGACACCGTCAGTGGGGGCAAAGCAATTAAAATCGCTGGCATGGCAGCCGTGTGGGTGGCTTTGTTGCTCACTGCTGCCGGCGCCCGTTTCGGGGCGAGCGGGCAACGCCAGGCCGGGCAGCTCCTCAAAGCGCCGCATCTCCCCGCGGGCGAACAATTGGCTCGTTCTTCACCGGGTTAAAAGAATAATAAAATAAAATAAAGAGGGAATAAAGGCCCCAGTAAAACTGGGAGTCAAGTTTATTTACAAACTGAATATGAAGTGAAGGGCCTGGAACAAAGGTGTTATGTAAGGGACAGTCACTAAGGGGCTCTTTACCCACGCTAATTGCCACTTGCTCCACGATATCCATTTATCTTGCAGCTGAAACGGCCTCCTCAGCCTTGCAGGTTCAAGCACTGCTTGTTTGCAACGCTGCCCGGCACAATTAGCACGCAAGAGCTGCGGCCGATGTGGTCCCACCGCCCAAATCCGCCAGGAAATCTTGTCCCTCTCCAAAAAATGGGATCGTGTCCGGAGCGGGTGGATGCACAGGCAGGCACGTGGCTTGGTAGGGAGAGACGCTGCCCTGCGTGGGGCTGCGGTGTTGATGGTGTAACGGGGAGGGATAACGGGGCTCAGTTCTGCTGGAGAAGAGACCTCCAGGTCCCTGCATCAACCCTACCCGAGCGGTGACGAGCAGCAAACCACCGTGGGATGCTCATGGGAGCGGCTACAAGAGTGATAGCTAATGGCCTTGAAAGGAGAACAAGGTCTGGAGAGGACAAATAATCCTGGTGTTTCCGAGTGGTCCAGCTGGAAACCGCCCTCGGATGCAAAGGACCGAAGGGTAGAGACTAGTAATTTAAAAAAAAAAAAAAAAAAGAAAACAAAGCAAACCCACACAACACGGGGAGAAGCAGTTGCCACGATCGCTGCTGTGCCCTGCAGCACGTGGCCTTTCTGCTCCCCTCCCTGCTCTCGCCTTCAGGGTGCGAAGACCACGGAGGGACCGTTAGCTCTGCTCTGGCCAAACTGGTGGGAAAGGGAGGAAGAGGAGGTGGAAGCATCCCCAGGAGCTGAGAGGTCGATTTTTATTGACAAACTGCCTTTTGAA